AATACAAAGGTTTCCCAGTTTACATTTTCTAGTCCAATTTGTTTAAGTTCTGACATCTTACGCTCTATATATGAAACTGGATCATCTGGCCTCTCCAGCATTAGACAGCTCAACAAACTCTCAAACATCTGAGGTATTCTGTGGGTTGCAAGGTATTGTTTTGCTTGCTCCCTTGTTCCAGCCATTTTCATTTGTACAATATATCACCTGTAAATTTTATGGGAAAATCAATATTATCAAAATAAACGTTTAATTTTCTTAGTGCCCTGAGATATTTCAATCATTTTAATGATACAGACTATAATTATTGCTTTCAAGCAAACAAAGAATACGTGAAACAAAGGAAACTGAGAAAATTCGGTCCAACAAAAGATTGTTTCATCTCATTCTGCGTGATTATGAAACACATGGATATATATAATCGTTATACTCTAACAAAACATGACAATTGAATGAGAACCAAAAAGAGTTAACTTACTCAAAACTTAACCTTCACGAATAAAAACGGGAAATGGTCATTGTTCTTTTTCCTGACGCCACGGTTACTATGGAGTGAAGGACCCCGATCCCGATATCAATTACCACAAAACGTGTGACGTACACTTTTACGTGAATATTATTTTTTCCGATACAATATTAATGTCTTAAGTGTTTCTAGAATTGGTGTTTTTATGAATTGTTCAAAGTATTTAAATTTACGTAGAACATGTTGGGAAAAACAAAATAATAGATTAGACCTACCGACCTCTTTCTATAGATCTATATTAAAATGATTTTGGCATTTTTTTTTTAATTAGGTGTTTAAAGTACTCTAGAACCAAGACGCGTACAAAGTAGAGTAATCTTAGAATTCTTAGAGCCACGGGCACTCGATAAATTTTCTGTGATAAAAGTTTTACCACACACTATAAATTTATAATTATTTAAAACTAACGGGATGTTTGAAACCAAATTTTACCTTTGTACAGAGTTATTATTATTTTTGGAAAGCCTTTTATAAATGCTGTTCCAAGTAAACCAATTTAAAATATGTATATACATGTACATGTATTCTTCATGTTCTAATGCTCTCAGTGTACATCCATGGATAAATATATATACAGCTTAGCCGAGTAAACTGAATATAATTTTAATTTTAAAAATACAAGAAATGTTTGAGAAAAATATATGCCCCAGTGTGGCAATATTAACAAGAGGTCCATAAGCCACATCGCTGACCTAAGCACTTTGGTTGGAGATATGCAGAAATGCAGTTCAGAACTGAAAAGTTTAAAAATATAACATGTATATAAGTGGTCCCACCCTATCCCATGCATGGAGTGATGATTCGAACAATTTTGCTTCCATATCAATATGATTAATCATGGCTTTGCTGTTTTCGAAAAAAAAGATGTTTTAAAGATTTTATCCTATATATTTCCATGTAAAACTTTGATTGTCTAATGTGGCCCACCCTACCCTTGGGGTCATGATTTGAACAAACTTGAAATTAAACTACCTTCATGAGGATGTTTCCATATTAATATGAATGAGCATGACTTTGCTGTTATTGAGAATTTGATTTTCAAAGATATTCCTATGTTTAACTTTGATCCCCTGTTGTGACCCCACCCTAACCCCGGAGTCATGATTTGAGCAAACGTAAATCTACGCTTCCTTAGGGTGCTCATGTCTATTAAAATGACTTATCATGGCTTTACTACACATGTAATCACCAGAAATTGATAATTTTTTAAAAAAGATATTTCCTATATATTCTCATGTACAACTTTGATCTCCTCTTGTGGTCCCACCCTACCATTAGGGGTCATGATTTGAACAAACTTGAATTTACACTTTCTGATGATACTTTTGTATTAATATGACTAATATCTTGAGAAGAAGATTTTTAAAGATATTTTCTATATGTTCCTGTTTATAACTTTGATCCCCTGTTAATTGTGTCCTAAACCCACCCCGGGGTCATGATTTGAACAAAATTAACACTGCCTGAAGAGCTATTTTATTAAGAATAATTAATTCTGTGATAATTATTTTATTATTCAGTTGAACTTCGCCTTCTCGAACACCGATATCTCGAACACAATGGATATGTTGAAGTTAATTTGAAGTCCAAACCTTATATTCCTTTAGTATTTCACCCTTGATATCTCGAATCCTCGGATATCGCGAAGTTCAATTTTCCTTGGCCCCATGGAGTTCTAGATAACAAGGTTTGACTGTAATACTAATGTTCTTGAGAAGATTTTTAAAGATATTTTCTATATGTTCCTAGTATGTAAAATCTTTGATCCTCTGTCGTAGCCCCGCCGTACCCGGTGGATCAAGATTTGATGAGAGATGAAAAATGCCCCCTTTTCAATTGGGTGGGTGGGGGGGGGGGTAAAATAATATTATAAAATTGTTTGAAAAAAAATGTAGGGCCTCCTTTTTTTTAAAGACCAGTGAACTATATAGATCTGCAGCAAATCTTCATTAATTTACTGATGCATGTGTTCATATTTTTAAGCGTGCAAAGTGTGTATATAACTCTGGGGAAAATTCGTGCAAAAATATAACATTGGTTGAATTTCCGTATCTCGTACATCGATATCTCGAATAAAATGGAGATGTCGAATTGATTGGGAAGTCCCAAATTAATAACACTTTACGCATTCTTTAAGTATTTTACCATGGATATATCGAATCATCAGATATCACGGGTTTTTTTCCTCGGTCTCATCGAGTTCGAAATAAGAAGTTGGACTATATAGAAAATATACAAATAATACTGAAGTAAGTGAAACATATTATATCATTTCACTTAGAATATCGAATGAAATAATGCATTAAATAGATAAAAAATGTTTCCATCGATCTGAGTTCAAAGTTCAACTGATATTTCAATAAATAGAACAGTTTTCCAAGATTTACACTAGTCACAACATTAAGGGAAAGTCCTTCAACTAGTCTACCTACATGTATTAAACATTTTAAAAATTACAACATAAACAATTTTTAATGTGCCTTTGCTAACTTGGTAATGATGAACAAAGTAAAATGAGACGCTATTTCGAACTAAGCCCAACACTTCAATTATCAAGTACCATGTGTATTTGTCAGGTTTTTATCTACTAAAAATGGCCGGTCTTTTTAATTCATGCAAGTAATATCAATACTAAAAGATTCCTAAAATGCCAAAAGTTAGAAGTTGAAGACTGTTTCAGAAATCTACTTTGTGAAAGAATACACCTTAAATTCTGTAAATATATTCTTGGTGTTCATAAGAAAAGTACAAATTTTGCAGTATTGTCTGAATTGGGAAGGTTCCCCCTGCATTATGATATTGTCAAATTGTTAATCAAAAGTTGGTATAGATTTGAAAATTTGTCCACAGAATTTCCTTTACTTAAAGATGCATATGAATGTAGTAAAAATCTTTATGTACATGGAAAGAACTCATGGTTCGCATTTGTACAGAAATTAAGAAATATACTGTACCTATTACCAAAGCACAAGATATCCAAATAGTTACATAATATTTTGTTATTTTGATGCAGAGACGTAGATACATATAGTGAACAATAATTTTAAAATTCAATCTGTAAATTGTGCCCAAACTTTAATTCAATTTTTCTTTATCTGCTTACTACGGACCGGAAGCCGTTATGAAGAATTCAACAAATCTGTTACAACAGATTAAATTCGTTTTAGCGAATTAAAAAAAACGATATAACGAATCAAATTCGTTATAACAAATTCGACAATATCCTAGGGCTTACACTTACTTACAAATGTACCTGCTCCAAAAACTTTAACCTGGTCCCTCATTCGGAAAATATAGGTCAGAAGCAGCATCAAAAGCAATTCAGGTAATGTGCATCCCTAAATGAACCATCAATGCAAGTTAGGTCTCTATATACTTAATTGGGACCTGCTCCAAAAAATTTTAACCTGGTCAATCAACTGAACTAGATGCCCATGGGCCACAACAGTCACCTGAGTCACTATGGCCCTGCTGTTCTTCATCAGCAGATTGTGTCCCCTATATATATTCCTATGTAATCTAATCGCCTATTGTGTCTCCATCCTACCCCTGGGTATCATGATTTGAAAAAAAACCCCTTTCATTTACTGTCTGAGGATGCTTCCATATCAATGACATTAACCATGCCTTTGCTGTTCCTTAGATTTTTTTTCATATTCCTATGTAAAACTCTGATAACTTATTTTGGCCCCACCTTACCGCAATGGGTCATGATTTGAACAAACTTGAATCTACACTACCTGAGGATGAATATGACTGACTATGCATTAAATTCCTGTTCTTGAGAAGATTTTTTAAAAATATTTCCCTCCTATATATTCCAAAGTAAAACTCTAATTGCCCATCGTGGCCCCACCCTACCCCCTGGGTCATGATTTGAACAAACTTGAATTTACACTATGTAATGAAGCTTTCACATGTTTCAACTTTTCTGAAATGAATTTCAAACTAGAATTTCAATCCAATGTTTTCTCAGACGTCCGTGTCAAATTGCATCTGCCCATTTCATTGTCTGTCATCAAATGTTTTGACTCCAACAGAGGAAAAAGACGCAAGTGCACATTTCCAATCTTGACAGTCAATGTTCCTCGGTCTTAATAGGACTCTGCCTACATTTTTTTTTTAAACTTTTTTTCCAGATATGTCTGGGAGAAATGTGTATTTTGCTTGTCAATGAAAGCAATTCTGATACAACATCAAAAGATTTTCACCAATGAAGGAGAATTTAAAGAGATTTTAAAATGTTGGATGCTTCACTTTTCAACAAAAACTAGGAAAGAAGTTTCGTTAGAGATCTTTGACATTGCCACCTGTAGTATATATGTATTAATATACCATATATTAAAACATTTATAACCATACATTGTAATATTCGGAGATGTACATGTCAGAATATTGTTTATAAAAAAACAAGCATAGAGGAGAGTGACATTGAAATGAAATGTATATATACATGTATATGTATAACAATTTTAAAAGAAATACTTTTTCAGTTCTTTCTTTAATCTTAAATGAGTGAAGACCAGCTTCAAATCTGACAGATCCATAAAAGGAAAGTGAATAACATAAATAGCATATACACTGTATATAAGACATAACCAGACTACAAACAGATTCTTTACAGTGTACATGCGAAATACATAGGAATGCATATACAGTAGTTATACATGTACCCAAAATGTTGACCAAAGGCAAACATAGAATCAACATAACAAATAAATAAATAAGTTTTTTGGAATCTACTAGTAACTAAAAGGACAGATAATAAATAATGTGTAATGTTATATTTAAAAGTAATTTTTGGGGATTCCATGCATTCATTACTACATTGTTATTTCTTTCTAATAGAACATGTACATGTGTTTATAAAGTTTCCAATTAAACAAAAGCTTATCTTAAAACAGGGAAGACATAAGTCAGATTCGACTAAAATATTGATAACATTCATATGACAGAAGTCTAAAATGGTTTCTGGTAAAATATTAAATGTTCAACATAAACAAGTATATGATTGTCAATTTTAATTTAAGGAATCAATACATCACCTTCTCAAAAAATTAATAAATGAATATTTTTATATCCGCTAGACCTTCAAATTCGTTGTTGTCATTTTGCGCTATGGTATCACCTTTATCCACAGACATTTGCCATTATATTTTTTTTTCTTATCTCAAAAAAATGCCCTACCTAATAGGGATATATTCTGTGATAGAAAAATATATAACATCAAGTGTCTGTACTTGTTTTACAGAATTATAAAAGTTTAATACTTAATCAGAACAATTCCAAATATCAAAAAAATAAATATAGTTAAATTGTGCATCTTTCTTTTTAATTAAACAGCTCATCACAAAATAAACATCTAAAAGAAATGATACTTTAGGCTAATAAAAATATGCCAACAAAATCCAAGTTTCATCCCAAAAAACACAGTTTTGTGGAAATAAATTACATTATAATAATTATTATGTAACGATATATTTAGTAAAATAAGTTCATTAAGGTCAGTTATCACAGACTTACACAAAAATAATTATTATACATGTATTAATAAACAAAAAAAAAATTATCCATGGGGAAAGACTCTATATCAGAGTTACCTCTTGTTATCTATTATACATGTATACAAATACTGTACATGTACACAGTGAAAACAAGGAACAGTTGAAGTTCATTATCTCAAATACTAATATCTCGGACCAGGGATATGTCAAAGTGATTCAGCAGTCCTAACCTCTTTTTTTAATGTGTATTACACTAGGGCTCAATGGATATCTCGAAGTTTAATCTTGGTTCTGACGAGGTCGAGATAATTAGTTTTGACTGTATATACTTTAGATTAAACATAATTATTTAATATGTTACAGTATATTAATTGTAAATGCTGTATAATTTTAAATGCTATACAAAAGGATAAAAGTAAATTCTCTTCCCTTTGCAGTCCACAAAAATTAAAAGGTGAATAAGGATGCAAAAATATATCAAGAGGAACAAAAAATTTGATTGAGGAAGAGTGTACAAAGTATTGCTTCATTCACCACAAAAATGCTGTCTTAATTTTTTTCATGGCTTCTTCCACCACATTCATCGCTGCTCTGGCCTCCAAACAAGCATGCTGCATCTTAGCTCTGTTGGTCTCAATAACGTCTGTGATATTTTTGATTTCATCTTCACTGCGAGGCTGTCCCTCTAACATTGCAACTTCCTCCCAGCATTCCTTGCACATGGAGTCTATAGCCTCATCCTGCTGCTGAAGCTTCTTATCCAGTAGGGGGCACTCTTTCTGTATGGTTTTACATACACTGGCATACTAAATGATTACCAAAAAAGATTATGTACTGCATGTAAATAATGATTTACATGAAGAGTATACATGAAAAATTATGAATAATAAAAACACAATTTGATCATGAATTAAAGAGGACTGAATTTAAATTCGATTAAAATCTACAAATAATCATAAACACATACTATATACAGGGTTGTTTTTGTCCCATTTGTTTTAACCCTTTCATACTTGCAAGCAAATTTGCCCTGTTTTTCACCCAGAAACAGTTGTGTTAAAGTGATTATCATAATACATGTACTGTCTTCTTTGAATTTGCACCATTTAAATCTGCCTGTTTGCGATGAGAGCAGAAGGCTAGGCAAAAAGGGGCAATTTTTTTTTTAAAAGTGGGGATGGGGTGGAATTGCCCTGTATACTGTAATTTAAAATCGTAGAATTTATTTAATAGCTCATTTGCAAGTTCCATAGTTCCATGTACATGTACCTTTGTATATAAATACAATAGTACAAAAAGTTGACAAAGCATTACCTCTGTGTGGAAGATATTGAGTAGGATTCTAATTTTCTTTGCTGGTTTGAAATCCTCTACTTTGGAATCAATTTCCAGCTTGCAAAATTCCTCATCCCTTTTAACCTGCAAATGTGACAATAATATCAAACCTGTCAAACAATAAGATATTTGAATATTAGTACATGTACTTAAGACTTTAAATTAATAGCTAAAGAAAGTCTAAGGCCAAATAACAGGAAAGATGCTTTAATTATATCAATGTGACTTTGACTGAATTGAATTGAATCTGACAATTTGAAGGCCCACATTCTCCAATCCCTGGCTCAGGAGTCCTTACATGAAATAAATCAAATTTACATTTACATTACATAAGGTTGCCTTCATGTAAACTTCACCATTTGTACCTTTAGGTTCCTGGGATTTTTTAATATTTTGCCGTACATCATTCATGTGAAACATTGAATCTCCTTTCCCTGTCCTAAGAGGCATGATTTTATTGAACAGCTAGCATTTGATGCTTGCATATAAAGGATGACTTTATTATGACCTTTATTTTACCTTGAGTTTTGCTCCCTCTCCTATATTTTCTTTCAATGCTGTGATGCAGTCTTCCAGACTATTCTCTCCCTTTTCCACAATCTGAGCTAATTGACAGCCATCCTTAAACTTGGTTAAAGACTTATTATAAAACTCCCTTAAAGTCATTATCTTCTTAACAGAGGTGCTGGCAGTTATGAATTCAGTATCAAACTGAAATGGACAAAAACATCTTTTTATTTACCTACAAGTAATCGATAGATATCTACAGTTCTTATATTCCCAAGATTGAAGGTCAGTGGGCAAATTGTTTTTGTTCTTTTTTGTGTAAAATACCATCTGTTAGATAATCTTTAGCTACAATTTTGAACCACACTAATGTGGTCAATTTAAAAGGTAAGGCTCAAAACCGTCAGGTAACGTCAAAGTTAATATAATTATACTGTAATTATCATCAAGAGGACAATTAATATTCACATCTATTTAAATACAACTGGCAAATTAAACTTTTTTTTTCAATTGAAAGTGTTTTAAATAATGAATTTTATATAATTATTGAATATTTACTTTTATAGTGAACAGTTGTAAAACAGAATTACATGTAATAAGATTTTTTGTCTAAGGTTGTAACGATATATCAGTATACTGTGAAAAAAAAAATGTACCGTATCATATGTGGTACAAAAACCATATACCTCTGTATCAGGATATATAACATTTTAAGCAATTTATAATATTTCTTTTAAATCATACTTAATAGAGGTGATTTTCTTTATTGTTTTTATTATGTTCAGAGCTTATAAAATGTTACATGATGTACTTGTGAACTTGAGGAAATAATCTACAACTGTTATACTTTCACATTTTAATAGAGAGTTTCTTATCTAAGAACAGAGACAAACAAATTATATTAAAAATATGAAAGGTGAAGTATCATGATATACTCCCAGTGTATCATGATATATCATGATACACCCAATGCGTCATGACATATCATGATACACACTAGTTGTATTGTTACACCTCTATTACTCTCTCAGCCTTACTAATTTGATCCCTGTTTTATCCAGTCCTTCTATTTCCTTCCGTTTCTTATCTTTGTGCTTCTTTGACTCCTCCTTGTTGCGGTATTTTTTCATGGAGTATTTATGTTCTAGCACATGTCTCACTAGATTCTGCATGGCTTCTCTCACTGACCCATCTCCATCTCGGGCTGACACCATCACACTGTAAAAAAAACTCCCAACTTTTAATAAAGAGTTAATGTTCGATATACACATACATGTGAGCATATTTTATCAACAAATTGACTGTGGCACTACTAAGTGAAGCAATACCTCTACCTGTAATGTGTATATAAGCACAAAACATCCTCCTCAATAAAATCATTTTCCTCTAGTTTGCTTAACAGGACATTCATAATCTAGAATTTTTAAAAATATGTACATTTCTTTTTATCTTATTCCTTCCATTTAAAGAAAAAATAAAGAAATAAGTTGATTTGTGGGTAAGTATGTGTGCATTGCTTTCCTGTTGTTGGTATATACTGATTGTATTCCTCACATTCAACAAAATATTTTTTATAGGATTCATTTAAAGATCTGAGGCCTGTTCAACAGTGTGACGTTCTCAAGTGCTCGCGAACATTTCTATTGGAGGGATATGGAATTTTAGCGAGCACTCGTTGAACAGGCCTTTGATGTAAAGAACTTCACCTGGCATGAAAATTGTGATCCACTGCTATCTTTTCTAACAGCTTTATGCTCTCAGGTTTTTCTTCCTCGGTCAGGGGTTCACCAAGTGACCACACCCTTTTATCTTCTCCATCTAAAAATATTACGTGTGATACATGTACATCAATTCTCTCATTGAACACTGAATTTTTCCTTCTGTGAATACACTGATTTTTATTTTTCAAAAATTTCTTTATTCAAAAAAATTTTTTTAAGGTCACATTTTAATTCAGCATTACCCTGCACTTTAATTGGCAAAATTAATACTGTAGATTATTTAATATCATCATGGAGTAAATTTTACTTAATTTTATGTCCAACAAAAACTCAACAAAATTAAATCCAACACAGATTATTTTATTTTAGAATCAGCTGATCATGATCTCTCATACAGACAGAGTGTCTGCCAGCTGTTAATTTAATTTTATCATAACTATAAATTTTTAATTTAAAGAAATGGATCCTAATGGTGTGCTGCATGCCCAAATCAAGCTACTGAAATAAAACCATAAACACTGCAGTTTTTCATAAATACAAAATTTGTCTCCATGTAGAAACCATAATTATTGCTTGTATACATAACAAGGCTTGATTAATTCGTGAATTACACCCTCTGCAGACCGCCCATAGGATTAGTTACACTGCATTACAAATGGCACCTGAGAATTCGATTTCAAATTGTACAATACACTTTTCTGCTCAAATTATTCAGTGCATGATTACGCACCAATTTATGATAGCTTTATAAACAACCATTTTCTTGAGGCATTTAGCTTTGAAGAATCACAGTTAGCTAGATCATGATTAGTACCTGTTTGGCTCTCCTGTGCATATTTTTTCAATCTCTCAGCTTGAACTCTTTGTTCAATCTGCAAAATATTAGGATATACAAGTCATGTATTTGAAAGATATCCACAAAGTAACTGAAACATAAATGCACATAGACGTAATGCACAACAGTCTCCTTTAAATTTTATAACTATATAATTTCATTTTCAAGTCAAACAGTAAGATAATTTTGGTATTAAGAATGTGACAGTTCACATTAAGGTAAGGAGTGATACATACCACATCAAATTTGTTCCCCATCAGAAGAATAGGAAATGTCTCTCTATCAACAGGGCGTTCTTCCATAGTAATTGTCTTCACCTGGCCCCCATGGGAGGCCTCCTTAACTGGGCAGGTAACAAATGTGTTGTTAAGGACAGTCTGCTTCCAAACAGGGGCCATCTCAATGCTGTTCATTTCTGTTAGATCCACCACAACTGCAATAATAAGCATACTGAATTTTAGAAAATAAACAGACAATAAAAAAGGTTGAATGATTAAGGATAAATAAAACAAATTTTTTCTTCCAAAATTCAAATATCTTTGCTTAAATAGGTGCCCCTCTCACTAAAAAAAAATGATATCTGTTGACCAAAGCCATATAATTTGGTGAAAATCGGGAAAAATTAACTTTACAGTCCAATATGATTTTTGAAAAGTTTTGGAAATATTGTAAAGTTCTGTTACTGTGTACTTTTTGGGAGCATTTTCAAGTCTATTTATACATATAACACTATCTAAATTTCCTAATTAGATTTCCATTGAAAGAAATATTGAAAAAAGTAGCAATGTATGTAAATATTCTGTGTGGGAGATAAGAAAATTTTGTATGAGGCATGTCTCTTTAAATATTACTTGAATTTTTAAAATTGAAGCTAGCCCTGCCATTTCTACATGAAACTTCTTTAAGTCTCAAAAAAAAATCCAAAACTAAAGCCTAGATAATATACATGTACATGTACAATTCTCATGTACTACAAGTCAACTGAAATTAAGAATTCATTCTGTATATATTGCATCATCCATAAAAATGAAAATAATTTGAGGTCAAGACTTTTTTTCAAACATATAAATAGTTGTTTTGTTTTAAAATCCTTAATTTTTTTTTTTTTTTTTTTTTTTTTTTTTTTTTTTTTACAATTTTATAACTTTAATAAAGAAGGTAAATACTTGGACTAAACACAAGGTTTAAATTGAAGAAGATATAAAGTAACAAAGATCCCTGAGGTCCATCTTGTCTTTAGAGTATCTTTATTGATTTTTTTTTCTACCAGTGTTAATTGTAGTGTGCTAATTGTCATCACTCAAAATGAATAAATCATGTAGTTCATCTATTCAGAGCATATTTAGAAAATGATAAACTTAGCTGTGACAGTAATTACCTATTGCAGCATCTAAATCCCTGAAGTATGTTTTATGGAGGTCTATGTCTTCCCGTCCTGGGATGTCCCAGATAGTAAGGGAGGCTACTGTGTGACCAGGAACATTTATCTTCTTCACTGCACTCTCTACAAAATTAATCACACTACTGAAAACATACTGAAAGGTTGATACCTTTTTTGTTGCACATTTTTTAAAGTGTATATAATGATAACTTTTAGTAACTTTCACACATTGACAATCTTTCTTGAAACTGAAGACTATAATACAATGAATAATGTAATTATAATTCTACATGCTTGTACTTGAATATCTTTTGAGGTGTTGGAGTTTTTGTGTATAAGTTTCTGTCAGAGAAATAGACTTACAGTAAAACATGCTGATAGTGAACATGCTTTTAATGAATCCATCTTAATAGTGAAGTGATTTTCATTCCCCATGTTTACCATATAGTAAACTTACTGGATGTAAGGAATTACATTTATATTAACGAAGCAAAATCACTTACCCCTGGCACTTTGGTATATGCATGTTTTACTGTATGCATTAGTTTTTTTTTCAAAATACATGCAGATCAGGCTACTGTGTGACCAGGTTCTCAAGAACCTACCTATAACAGCCTTTTTTGTTGGCATGTACATAGGACTAAACTGGTTCTTCAGATATCTCAACATTATACATGTCTTTCCAACCTCAGTATCACCTGTCAGTGTATAAAAACAAAAGAATAGGTAGCTGATTAAACATCTAAATCAATATATCATAATCATATATATATAGGATCTCCCATGGTTTATGGTTGAGTATGATTTTTATCCAAGTTATATCATGCTTTTTATCCCTGAGCCTTGGCAAGGGCTTAAAAAACACAGAAGTTTGATAAAAATCATATCCAACCACAAATCATGAGGAGATTCTTATAATTAAAAAAACCTTGAATATGATTTTTATCCAACAAGTTATATCATGCTTTTTATCCCTGAGCCTTGGCAAGGGCTTAAAAAAACAGAAGTTTGATAAAAATCATATCCAACCACAAATCATGTGGAGATTCTTATAATTAAAAAATCATTTTTTAAACATAAACTGTTTCTATATACCAACCCACTTTATTTATTTTTTAACTTTCACGTAAAAACCATTGTGGCATCACAATTAACAGTTGATGTGAAACCGATATATGCTGTATAACAGAGAAAACATGCAATAAAATATATTATTATAGTCTACTTTTATAGTCCCCACGCAAATAGTTCATATAACATAATTCACTGGATTTGAAGCTGTATGTGTATCTGCATATGAGCATGAAAATATTGGGCAAGCCTATCACCAAATTATTATTCAATCATTTCGATGGGAAATGATCTTACACTCTACGAAAGGAAAACACAGAAGTTGTAATCTCAATATTTTTTTAATCATTCTGTGACAGATTGAAGTTTGTTAATGAAAATGGTGTCAGGCAGTCTCAATGATTAAGTTAGTTGAATCTGACTACTACACTGCTTCCTACTAGCTTGGGCTAGTGGTTTTACTCTTTAGCTCAATTGGTAGAGCACTGGACTGGCAAGCCAGAGGCCCCGGGTTCAATCCCCAGCAGAGGCACAAAATGTCTCCATTACAATAAACAATTATGGACTCTTTTGATGGTGAATATGGTTTGATATTCACCAGTAAAAAATCAGTATTGACTGATAACAATCCTCTATTGCAAATATGTCACAAAGCAAGCTTTGTACAACTTCAGTCTGGTAAATCCATTTTATGTTTATGTAACTTAATTGTACTGGAAATTCTAGAATGAACAAATTTGTAACATTTAAAAGAAATGAAATAAACATACCAACTATTGCAATCTTCAGGTGTGGCACGTTGGAATCAAGGATGTTGTTGGCTAAAACATTAATGTAGCTGAGATGAAAACAGTGTACTTTGTTAGTTATCACCAATACTAATTACAGCACATGTCATATGCTGTTCAAAAGAATATGTATGCGAAATAAACGGAAACTATATTTTAAAATATAAATATATAACCAGCCATGAAAAAAAAAAATCCCAAAGCCAACTCAATATATATATTTTTTGTTGTTGTTATTTCACGCTGAACTCGGAAAAATAGAAGAGATGGTTTAATAGTATCATAAAGGTATTAATTAATATGTAAATATTCTTACGGTATCCGCCATAATCACTGCTGCATCCAACTCCCATTTTAATTTTTGTTCGTAGACAGTCAACACACGAAATGAAGGCTCCGATACATTGTTTTGTGAAATGGTTGTGTGTAGCGATCCACCATATTGTTTACATGCGTAGCGAATGCTCAGCTCAATCGTTAATATTCGGCTACTTCCGAATACGACTTCGATAATCCACGAAAATATCCGGAGTGTTCGATGCGTTCAACGTCATCGTTATAAGTGCACATAGTTTATAAATAAAGTTTTTTCGTAACATAGCATCGAGGGTTCTGTGGTGTAGTGGTTATCACGTCTGCTTTACACGCAGAAGGTCGCGAGTTCGAACCTCGCCAGAACCTCGATTTTTTTTTTCCTTGAAAAAAGGCATATATACGCTAAAACATACAAAATAAATATACACATTAATATAAATAAATAATATATATATTTTTGGTTTTATTTTTTGTTGTTAATGCATCCATTCAATTTGAAGACACATGCATCCTAACAATGTCAGGGGTCCTGAGTCAGCATGTCGCTGGTCACTGTAGAAGATGATGGATGAGAAATAGATCCAAGTATCTTATCAAACAAAGATTAAAAATTAAAAAAAAAAATGCAGTATACTAAATCATAGAGATGTGAGGTGGCAGTGCCAATATCATGATACAGATATACCATAATTAATACACCTTACAGTTTTAGCAGTATCGTTACACCCCAACTAAATCATGTATTTATATAAGGAATCATGCATGTTCCTGTGTTTAATTTTCTTTACAAATTCCATTTTCCAGCAACATCATAGTAATTAGTCGCCCGCATGACACAGTGGTTTTAGCTTTTCATTTTACAGTTGCAAAGATAAGAGCTGTTCATCCTTACATCACAGGTTTCAATCCAACCACGGGACATGGACACCTGTCCTTTTGATAAAATTCTATAAATCAATCTATTGCAGTAGATGCTGGCAAACCCCCCCCCCCCCCCCCCCCAAAAAAAAAACCCTCTATGCTCAGTATAGCCTTAAATGTCATCTTTGTTGGGATTGTCCTCTATAATTAGTCCTGTTAATTTTTTATTCCCATCCTGAAATAAAGTTTTCGAAATGCATTGAAATTTGACAAAATTTATTTCATACAATCAGACAGTTTAATAGTAGTTGAAAAATCAAGGCAATATATTTACTTCTTGATTAAAGAAGAGGTATATCTTACAACATTCCTAAAATGTAATTTTCAAATCCATCTAGCTGTCTTGTTTTATGGAAATTCAATTAACTATCAAACTCAGAGCCTCAGAGTATATTTTTTTTAAATATGAAAATTTAATCCAATTATAGTTGGTGCTGCACTGTGTTCTCTAAAAAAAAAAACTAAAAAAAATCAATATCCATGGGAATAATATTATATAAGCATTAATTTGTATAATATACCTCTGTTTCAACAAAATTCCAAAAAGAGTCAATTCATTAGATTTAACCAAAACTAGCGGTAAACCGTGTATAAAGCTACACAGAGAAAGTTTCCATATTCCTCAATATATTGAAGTTCTAATCTACATCATAAGTCAACTTTGCTCTTTTCAGTTTTCTTTTAAAACTTTGATTCTGATTAGATTTTCTTGTTTTAGGCCTCTTTGATCTGAATTTTCCAGCTGTCCAGATACCTGCAAACAACAACACACCATCCTCCTCATAAGCTCTGATAGTCTCTAGAGGAGTTATCTTCCCTGAATTCTCCAACAACTCATTCATAAAGCTGAACCTGGATGCTCCAAGTCTCTGATAACACTCATGAACTTTGAACTTTGACCATACTGCACTTATAAAAATGTCTTTTCTACTGGGTAGTTTATAGATTTGGAGGTAAATCAATCCATAATGCAAAAGAGCTTGATGACGCAGTTCATCCAAAAATTCATCCTCTGCCATGTTTGTCTTTGCAATATTGGATGATTTCTCTTCCTTGCCATTATTTAATTTACTGCATGATTTACTGGTACATGTAGCAGTACTGCTGTTATTGACAAAAGGAAACTGAGAACCATCACACACTGGACTTCTTTGATTATTTTCACTAAAGGAATCATAGGAAACAGATATGCCACTTACAACTGTGTCAGCTAAGTTCTGATTATGCTTTTCTTTCCAAAAATGTAATGAGGTCTTAAAATCATTGTCTGCTTTAAAATCAGAATATTCTTTAGATTTGCTCACCTCAGAAACTGTTGAAACATATGACTTTTTACAAAAATAACAAACAGAATATACAACTATATTATTACTACAGCTCTCTATAGCAAAAGGTGATTTTAATGAAATTTCCTTCAGGTGTGTAAGATGTTGAATTGTCTGCTGGACTCTTTGTCTTCTATAAATTACAGCTGTATATATATCAGTTTGACATTTTGAATCAGTGCATATTGATAATGTGTGGATCATAAAACCACTATTAATCTGATTAAAAATATCATGCTCTGTTTCTAAGTCACTCACAGACACATCGTGGTAAATCTTATAAAACCAATCAATATTGCCTACATTATGGTTCCAAATCATATTAACATAAAAAGCATTTTCATACACAACTAAATCAATGTCTTGCATATAATATCCTTTTGACTTCAGAGAATAGGCATGCTCTTCCACTTCTTTAAGTGGAATAAGAATTTGATATATCTGAGCTTTATCTGCACATGAAATTTGTTGCTTTTTAACATTTACACTTGAAATGTTCAGACCAGCAGATGGTCCATAACAATAAAATAGAGCAAATCTGACAAGCCCATCTAAGTCCTGATCCGTAGCTCCAGCATTGAACAGTAAAACCCAGGAGTATCCACTTTTGTCTCTTCTGAAGCTCGTTGTGGTTCCATCCATGTAACCTGTGTGACCCCAGGTTTGACCTTTGTCTTCCACATCCAATCCTAGTCCATACCATTCACTTCCTTTTTCAAATTTTGGACATGCCAACATTTGTGAAATGGATTCTCTTGATAAGATTCTGTTTCCTTTACTGAAATTATAGATATTTGAAATTATCTTTCTTACACATGATTAAAGGGACTTAACTCTTATCAACCACTGTCTAAAAAACATTCACAAACTTTTACCAGAATTTTATCACCAGAATAGAATAAATGTTCATTTAAAAAAAAAATTAAATCAAATTCATGATTATTTCCACTGATTTAGCCCATTTGTTTTAAGAATGTAGCATATATATCATAACAGCTAATTTTAAGGAGGCTAGGGGGTCAACAAATTAACCATCAGATATAACTTAATTTTTTAGATATGATATCTTAAGCTGTCAACTATCATTTGGCAAACAAAAATTTCAAACATTTTAGTTTTAAAATTTGATCATTTTTGTATATCTTTATATGGAGCTCTTCTTCTGAAGAAGATCAATATAGTCTGAAAATGGCCACAACCACCCAGCCCTCTTAATCAGATTGTTCTTTCATTTGCACTTTACAAAACACCCAACTCTCCTGTATTCTGTGGGTCACATCACAAAATTACACCATCCCCCAACCCACCCACCCACACACAAATGACCAATCTTTCAAAGTCAATTACCATCTCATTGTATTATAATGTAGTTCTAATCTAATATGAATATTATAATTTATAGCAAATTAATGAATGTTGTTCATACACTGTATGTTTTTTTTTTATGAAGCTTATTAAATCAAAAGCCCATCTGGATCCTATATACACTGTACATGAATTAAATTTTGTTCACTTAATACTTACCAGTGCTCCAAATCTAGAGTTGAGAGGAGAGAGAGAAGTTGTAAGGGAGATGCCACCAATCCACCATAAGAACCGGTCCCCTTCATATGGTATCCTCCATATTGCAGGCTCCAGATGTCACCTTGATGTGGTATAATGCTGGGATGTAAACTATTACTGTTCTCAAAATATGTGACCTAGATAAAAATGTTCAATACAGTGAATTACTCAGTATTAATATATATATATATATATATATATATATATATATATATATATATATATATATATATATATATATATATATATATATATATATATATATATGTATTAATATATATATATATATATATATATATATATATATATATATATATATATATATATATATATATATAAGCAATGAAAATCTTGTAGAAAGATTGATTTTGGCTGGATCATTTTTCATTCTGTTCTTTTCCAATCAATTTATTTAAACATCATTTTTCTTGTCTTTGATAATCTCTTGGAATACAGATATGCAAACAAACTACATGTATATACATAAACTCAGAAAATTTGGGACTTTTCTTTTGTAGAAAAAGAGAGCATCATGTCATTCTCAAACAATTATGAGTTCAAAATGGTACCAATGAAAACAGGGGTATAAGTATTCATTTGTCTGGAAAAAGAGTGTCAGTGTTAGATGGATGGCCACTCAAAGATTCAAAGTGTTTCATTTTGGAGTTAATCTGTTGAGGAGGAGGGGGTAAAACTTTCTGCTTACATCAAGAATCCTCTACAATCAGGTTAGCAAATGAAGAATTTTTAAATGTACAAATGCCTATGACATACAGAAATACAAGGAATAACTGAATAAGGAAGTCTTTGTAAGAGAGTTGTAAGCTAAAGAAAAAAAAGATATCAGGGAAGATAAGAAAATATACTTCATTTGGGTGCAGTCTGTGAAGCTCATCTCCTTCATATACCCAGAAGTCATCAGCCTGGTTGATGATGTCATGTATATAAATAGGAAAGGGTATCCCTGTCAGTTTCTCTAGAACTTGCCCAAGTACCAAGTAACCAAAATTAGAGTAGCCATGTCGAGTTCCTACAAAATTTTCCCCTAGTGTAAACTGGATATAGATGATAAATTTCTTAAAGCTGCTATCTTCTCAAGTATAAAACAAGAAAGTCAAAACTAACCAGGCTTAAAATCCAGTGTTTGTTTAATCATGTACTTGATGAGATTTGTATGGTAGTTGGTGTAGAGTGCCACAGGTGTGGTCGATTCCTTATGTTCCTCAGGGCAGACAGTCTGAGGGGGAAGGTACACAGGATCCACCCCAGTCTCTCGATCCCAGCCCCCTGAGTGTTCTAAAAGATGTCGCACTGTAATTCTCTCCAGGGTTTTGACACTGGGGCCATCCGGGGCAAAATTTGCAAGTATTCCTTGAAGTTTGAAAAATTGAAAGAGTTTGAAACACAAAGAAGGCAGAACTAAATATTCCTCTGAAATAATGTGGCAATGAATTAACCATATTAAATGTGTAAATATGATGTTTAATAAAAATGAAGTTTTGTTTATTTATTAATTTTCAGAATAATTGATATCCAGGATACAGAGTAATGATGAAACACATGAACTTAACTACATGCTTCTTCCCAAACAAGTTGAAATGATTTAGTTTTTTTTTTTTTTACCTTTTCCTTTTCTGCTAAATATCTTATCATTCAGCTGCATTTTATTTTGTTCCACTAACTGCATTATAGCCATGGCTGTGATAGTCTTAGAAATGCTGGCTATCCTGAAGTAGGATGTTGAAAGACATCTTGACTCATTTCCTGCACTGCCATAACCTTGAAGTTTGCAGAAAAAACAATACCCTTTCCTATCAGTAAGAAGTTTTGGAATTTGCATTTTAATGAGTGTTTTCGCATATACCTAAGTTTCTTGATGAATCAATTAATTGATTTAAAATATTAGTTATAATTGAATATATTACATGTACTTATAAGGTAAACGTACCTTAATTTAATCTACCCCATTTCATTGTGTAAACAAAATCTAATTGAAGAATTAAGTCAACAGTAATGATTAAATACAGAAAAATGTAATAATACTATAAAATCAACACTCTATTACATGTTCACTCATTCATATTTCACCTTGTCTGTGAATAAGTCTGCCATTATAGGATAATGCTATGGCTCCACCAGGAATTCTCTGTTCTTTCATAAACTCTGTTATTAGAGAGTCAAAATTTCGCAGAGACTCATCTGCAATTTCATTTGCTTTGCAAAGATCTACAGTAACAATATAAACATGATAAAAATATAGAATTGGAATCATTTGATTTGCACATCTAAATCATCACAAGTTGAAACTATCACAACATTTAAGTGCAACTTTTTATACATGCCACAGGGCTCCTCACAATTAATTTGTCTTCTCTACACTATAAAATACACAAGGGAGGAATCGAAACAGAAAATTTTCACTACCTCACATTTTCTTTTGTCTCATTTTAATTTTTATATTGGTAGATGAAAGTATCACGAGAGGTAAAACTGTTGGAAAATGCTCTTTAAAAACTCAATAAATGTTTCTGTTGCATACAGTCCACAAGTATTTTCAGAAACTACAATGATTCCCAGATCGATTGATACCCAGCATGTGAACTGTTACGTTTGAGAAAAACGAGATGAAAGAAAATGTGAGGTACCAAAAAATTTCTGTTCGATTTCACCCTCAGCTTGTGTATTTTATCATAGGCGCTCCCCGTGTAAGTTTGTAGATGATGAAATGATAAGTCTACATAGGTCTACCCCTCTATATTATAAAATATTTTATAGTATAGAGTGGTAGACCTCTAGGTGAACATATCATTTTGTCATCTACAAACTTATGTGGGGAGTGCCTATGTATTTTATAGTGTTGGGGTGGTCAAATAAAAAGAAGACAAATGAATCGTGACGAACCCCTATGAACAATTGAACATGCTGAAAAAATTTGCTCATTCAAAGAAAAGAATATATTATTAAAAACAAAGCAATATCAAGCTATTTTGAATAGCTTAAGGATTCTCTGCAACTTTATTGGACGTGGACTCTAAAAAAATTATTTGGCATAAAACTTTGATTAAAATTGAAAATATTTCATAAAATCGATTTTTCGAATGTTATTAAATGCGTGTTATCGAAGTTAAAATATCTTTAAAGTATATATTACCAAATGGAATAAAGTAACGTTCCGAATGACTCAAAGACATCTCAGAAACAAGTCAAACACTTGACAATGAATGGATTCTGCAGCAGGATATAATTCTCGGGACATAAATTTAAAATACAGAGGGTTGTGTAAATATCCGGAATTTATGTCGAGCTTAAGAATTAAATATATTATATGCATATCTATCCATTTCAAAAATGTGATAAATAGATAAATAAAGTTTTGAAACCCAGATATTCTAGGAGCGTATATAAGTCCCTGAAAATTCGGCGATTTTGTCCCGGGAAAATAGTTTCCTCGCGTGAAGGTTTTACATTTGAAATCATTCCACGATTTCCTCACGAATAAAGAAGAGAATTTCAAACTGAAGTATCATGCTTAAATGCGTGTCTACGAGAAAACCATGCAAAATCCAAATTTTATTATGAAAGGCATTGTGATCATTTTGACTGATTTTATTGTTTCTGATTAGCATCATGTGTCCTCTAATAAATCCCAGTATCAAAACTGTCAGGTACCTTTGGGGATCCCTATTATAGCCCTATATTCTATTTTTAGCACATTTTATGAAAATATTTTGAAAAACACCCATAGATTAAGAGAAAAAAATTGCAGGAAAAAATGCACTTTTATTCAAATGTTACATATTAAATAAATTTAAAGGAAGTGCTCTAACTAGAAATATTTTATTTAATTTCATTTATCAACACTGATTCTGTAAAAGTGGGGTCTAAAATTAGATTAAATCAATGTGTTTAAAATACCACTATCTTTAGAATGCTGTAAAAACCAAAGAAACGCTTAAAACATTATAAATATCAGTTTAATTGCAAAAATCCTTCAAAATCAATATATAGGTAAAAGGAATTTGGTTGCAAATGGCATTATGCTAATTTAAAAATAGATTGAAGTTGGCTGAAACTATTAGAAAAATTATCTCCCTTAGTGGAACTCTCCTTATTTAAAGGAATTAAAAGTGTGATGTCTTAATGGCAGACGAAAAGATGAAGTGTTGATTTGAGGACAATATTGTGATAAAAGATCTCTAGCTTTGTTGAAAGATTGTAAAATAGATTCAGCTGAATATACAAGGTATTTTAAATGCAGCACAGAAGACATTTCTGTCCCTGAAACGCTTCTTATCGTTAACCATCTTGAACCATGCAGCTGTTATGGGACTTGGACAGTCTAATTTCTGTAAACATACCTACATGTACATGTATGTGACAAACACAGAAATATACTTGGTCTACACTGGAAAAGGAAAAAAAGAACATGTTGTCACCCATACCTGATAGGGGAGACGCTATTATGCAAACTCGTTAACCGAGAGGGTCAAGCTGAATGAGGTTTTGCCTGTTGGAACTGGTAAGAACATTATGCAGTTTAAAAACTTAAGGAATTTTGCTAAACCATTGAAATTAACTTAATTTCTGACCTTAAAGTTTTCAGAGAGACACTGTACATGATATTTGGGTTGTCAATAAGAAATGAAACAGATTTATAAAAAAAAAAAAAAAAGCATGTTGGGGGTTCCTCCCCTTAGTGAGGGTTGAGAGGGCAATACCAGAGTAATTGGGGAATTATGTCATTATAGGTGAAGAAATTCCCCAGTCCCACAGGTCTTAAGGGCAACCCTATACATGTAAATATAATATCACAAAGTGATATCATAATTGGAAATATTTACTGACTTTGTCTTTATAGTTTGTGAAAACCTATTGATATCAAGTTTATACAACTTACATGTCCAATCTATAATGATTTATATCTATCAACTAATTTGATTCCTAATTGTTACAGGTATATGCAAAAGATGTATAGAAACACACATTAAAAAATCAGTATGGAAGTAAAGCTGAAGGAAGAGCTTAAAGGTACATATACATATACTGTGTGTTTATAATTATATGTAAAAGTTTTATCAAATTATTTCTAAAATTTACTCAGTAGCTTATACATCAAGTTTCACTTATGAAGCAAAATTACCTGCTTTTATTATGTTATAGCTGAAATACATGTAAAAAGTGAAAACTCTTGAGCAGCAGTCCACTTGTTAATTCTTGTTCTCATTCGAGTATATTTAGTACTCACATAAATTAAGGATTCTACAGTAAATGTTGATGAATGGCTTTTACACTCAATAGTTTCATAATATTGATAGATTTCACATGTAAATGATCTAATCCTGTTTGGAAATAAAATTTCAATTGCATATTATTTTGAATTAGTTCTAAAAATAAAATCTCAAGTGTGATTTCTGTTTCATTTTATGTGTACATAATATAAGTATTCATGTAACTATGAGGATTATTAAGTATTGTATAGTTAACATTAAAATTAATGTTTATTCTTTAGCAGAAATGTGTTCCTATTGACGAGGCAACAATTGAATCAAACCAAACAGGTGATCACTTACTGTAATATAATATAATATTTTTAAGGTACTACATAATAATAAAGATAATGTCAATGTTTAATATCTCAAAAAATAAAATTAACAAATATGTTTCATTTCCACACTGAAAAATATAACTAAGTGGACATTGTTATCATGCAGTTCAATGACATGAACCAGAGTTTGTACATGTGGTTAACATTTTATAATGTATACATACAAGTTACTATAATCATGATAATATACATGTAACTGTTCATTCACATTACTGATAAGTAAAATAACAAAGAACAATTTATGTGAAGTTAAGTCTAAATGGTGAAGATGCCTGAATATGTGACTGATAAACTGAAAAGTCCAGTCCATATAGTTCAAGTTTTGAGCTCTAAAATTATTTAATTATGATTCATTCAAAATGTTTCAGCATTAGCATTTTTAGCATTAACTGTAATGTATAAGGGTATATATACTTCATGGCTTTTTCAATTATTTTACAGAGCAAAGAGTGGAGGAAAATGGAAGAAGTCATGGACATAACAGAAAACATATGACCTAATACCTGCAGGTAACAGTCTCCACCCCCCCCCCCCCAATAAATGTTTATTGGTCTGTCCATTGGTCATTCTGTCTGTACATGTATGTACTATAACACTTTAATTTGGGAACAATATCTCTTAAAGCCTTTGAGCTTTTGCAATATCATTTCATATCACAACTCCTTACAGCCTAGAGAAGATCCCTATTGATTTGAGGTCAAAAGGTCAAGGTTGGAAATTCCTACGATACAAAAAAAAATTCAAATAATAACTTTAGTTTCCCTTGAGTTTTTTCTGTTAAATTTTATATCATAATTCCCAATGACTTAAAGAAATCCCCTTTGATTTCAAAGTTAAAAGGTTTAGTTGAAAAATTCATATCTTGCAATAAATAATGTCCTGGTGATAACTTTGGTTCTCTTTGAGGTCTTGAATTTATTTCTTTAATAAAAAAAAAGACACCAATTGACTTTAAGGCCAAAAGCTGAAAGGTTAAGGTTGACCTTTTTCTTTTTCCATCTGCATGTTTTTTTTTTGTCCAGTTCTTCCATCCTCATTTTTTTCCATAAGTGGGGGCCACAATTCTCTGAATTAGCTTGTTTTATATTTGGATCATTTGCAGGTTTGCATTAAACTCAATTAGCCATTTAAGGCATTTGGATCTCTTACAAAATAGGAAATAAAGGTGATTCAGGCTGGCATTGCCAAGGTCCCTTTGTTGTAAAATTGAAATTATTCCCTAATTCCCAATGTCATTTAGAACATCAAAATACATGCTCTTTTGCTTTTGGGTATAAATGAAAATTTACTGTACTAAAATGTCTTCTTTGATTATCATAATTATTGCAATATCAATTATGAACTTTAATTCAAACATCAATTTGTCATTGCTTTTACAGATTTTGAATTCATATCATCAGTGCATCTAAATTGGTCAAAAGATGAAAGATCTCAGCATAAATTGTTCAGTCATGCAAAGCATATCCTGTCAAATGGAGATTACCCTCCCTTAAAGTGTCAAGTATCTCAGAAATTGGACTATTTGCAATACTGTTCAGGAATATTTTACATATGTCAGTACATTTAGCAATAGGGCCTGTTGCACCATGCCAAGGTACAGAGTTGATGCTTCAAGCTGTCGACGGCATTCCAAAGGAAAAGGATGAAACTTTTTTTTAGCTCACCTGAGCCGAAGGCTCAAGTGAGCTTTTCTGATCGAAATATGTTCATTGTCTGTCGTCGTCGTTGTCGTGGTTGTAAACTTTTCACATTTTCATCTTCTTCTCAAGAACCACTGTGCCAATTTCAACCAAACTTGCCACAAAGTATCCTTGGGTAAAGGGAATTCAAGTTTGTTCAAATGAAGGGCCACACCTTCTTCCAAGGGGAGATAATCATGAATTTGTGAAAAATTGATGGCATCACCTAAAAACTTGTCAAGAACCACTGTGCTTGAAAATATGAAACTTATATGGAAGCATCCTCAGGTAGTGTAGATCCAAGTTTGTTCAAATCATGACTTCCGGGGATAGGGTGGGGCCACAATGGGTGATCAAAGTTTTACTTAGGAATACATAGGAAAAAGCCTTTAAAAATCTTCTTCTCAGAAACAGCAAAGCCATGATTGATCATATTTAAAAGGAAGCATCCTCAAGTAGTGTAGGTTCAAATTTGTTCCAATCATGACCCCAGGGAGTAGGGTGGGGCCAGAATGGTCAATCAAAGTTTTGCATATAATACATGTACATAGGAAAAATTTGTAAAAATCTTCTTCTCAAGAACAGCAAAGCCATGATTGGTCATTTTTATATGGGTGCATCCTCAGGTAGTGAAGATTCAAGTTTGTTCCAGTCATGACCCCCCCCCCCCCTCCCCCCAGGGGTAGGGTGGGGTCACAATGGGCGATCAAAGTTTTACATAGGAATACATAGGAAAAAGCCTTTTAAAATCTTCTTCTCAAGAACAGCAAAGCCATAATTAGTCATATTTAAATGGAAGCATCCTCAGGTAATGTAGACTCAAATTTTGTTCAAATCATGACCCCCCCCCCCCCCCCCAAGAGAATAGGGGGCCATAACAGGGGATCAAAGTTATACAAAGGAATACAAATGATATATCAATAAAAATTGTCTTGTAAAGAATAGCATAGCCATTATTTGTCATATTAATTCAAATATTATAATTTTGCTTTATTTCAGTGTAGTAGCTTCAAATGAGTTTTTAATTTTTTTTTTTTTTTTTTTTTTTTTTTGACAATTTAAAATTAGAGATCATCTTAGTAATAAAATTTTTTATAATGTTGCTGTCTTTAAATTTTCTCTGTAAAAGTAACATGTACATGTACATGATACATTTGGTATTTTTCAAATGCAGTTGAAGGAATTTAATTGAGCATTGTCAAATATTTCACTTAAATACTAGTTGTGTTTTTATGACTTTATGGTATTAAAAAAGACATAAACTTTGTTCTGTTCATTCATTTGTATAATTTTAGGGCAAACAAAATCAGCATTTGTATAAAATGTTTTGCATGTTTAAAAACAACTTTTGCAATGAAGAACTGTATGAAATTTGGGCAACACTGTGAAAAAGTGGATTTTATTTACTGATGTGTTCACACTTTTGAACACTCTCTCTGTTAAACTTGCAATTTTATGTATTTGCAGTTTTTGCAATGTGCATTTTCATGCTAAGGGATCCTGTAAAATGAGCCCCATAGCTACATGTATAGCCAGTTCATTGCTATAATACATTAAGCCTTGTCAAAAACTCATGATTTTTAGCTCTACTGGTTAGAGACCAGAAGAGCTTATGCGATAGTAAGGGGTTGGTCGTCTGTCTGTCCATCAACAAAAGCTACTCCTCCTACAGTTTTGGTCTGATTTCAATATTACTTGGCACACAAGTAAAGTACACTGAGATACATAATTTTTTTTATCGGATTTTGATTTTGATGAATGGTGTTGCTATGGTTACTAAAATAGAAATTTCTGTAAAATTCTTTTAAAATCTACTCCCCCTTTAGTTTTAGTCAGATTTCCATGAAAAGAGACCAAATCAAGGATCGTTATTCTATTTATTTCTGTTGCAAAGTTTCAAGTCCAACTGCTACTTATCTCTTCCTTTGTTAGAAGTACAAACCAGTAGAGCTACAGTCTCGAAAAAGACTTCTGGTTAAACAAATATTCAAATCATGCATCTTTGTGACATTCTGGATAAATATAAACTAATTTCAGTCATGAAGATTGAAGGTCATGTGCCTGAAATGATTTAACGTTCAAAATGTAATCACTCCAGTAGTCCAGTATGCCTTTCTACCCAGATATAGTGTAATTTTGCTAGGGTGAAAAAATCAACTAATTCAAATGTGCCACCAAATTGCCTGTTATTTTTACTTAAATATCTTAAAACAAATACTTCTTGATAAAAAATATAATCACTGAAGTGTCTCTTGAAATTCTATCCTGTTTTTTCTACAGAATATCCCTTAGAATTATTGTGACCTTTTTGCACTTGCAGTTCTGCACTTACAAGAGTGAAAACTCCATTAATTTAAATTTGCAACCAAAATCCCATTAATACTAAATAATATATTTAAAAACAATCGCTTTTTAAAAATATGAAATCAATGGAAGCGTTTCTTGGAATTTTATAGCTGTTTTTCTGCAGACTATTCAAATATCTTTATTTCTTACAATTATCGTGACCTTTTTGCACTCGTAGCTCTTCACATTCAAAAAGGTATGTGGAAAAAAATTCTGTAAATATTTTTTTCAAAGGTTTTAATTCCTTAAATCTATTAGTTATGAAGATATTATGGAAATTTTTTATACACAAACAGAATATGTACAAAAGGTGTTATTTTTCCATACTGGGTATAGAAATAGGCTGACGATAAACTAATTCTCCCTGTATCCATGGTAACAAATCAAATGACGTCACCAAACTTACGCAGTAAGTAAGTGACCTTGATCTCACTTTGTATGCAAAGTTTCAAGAAATTTTGAAAAACTTGCTTTCATAGCATTATGCATGGTTTTCTCGTAGACACGCATTTAAAACAAATTTCCAGAGCATATCTGAGATTTTATGCATGTTCAAGGAATTGCTGAAGGTGTTTTTTTCTGAAGAATTTTGTGAACAAAACTAAAAGTCATGGAATCAAGCAAAGCAGACTCGAACCTGGCTTCCCAAGTCAGTGAGGAAAATCAACAATTCACAATATACTGTCCGTCTAACAGTGTCGAGAAACTTTCAGGTATTATAAAGATTTGATATCTTTAAAAAGTTCTGCAAGTTGTTTAAGTTGATAAGAAACATGACTGCTTTAGTTGTCAGGTCCAGCACAATACCCTGATAAAGGTATATAGCTTGATAAAGCTATATAGCTTTATCAAGGTATTTTATGTAATGAAAATACAAAAAAAATTCTAAAAAAATAAATACTGAAAGTCGAGTTCTGAGTTGTTGTCAATAAATTCACTCATGCATGTAAAGTACTCAAACACAAAGAAATCGATAAAAATGCATGTCGTGTGAGGAGACGTTCTTTTATTCTGTCTTTTTGATACCTGAGTACTTTTCATGCATGAGTGAATACACTGACCACAACTCATAATTCGACTTTTAAATTTAATTTTTTAAGATTTTTTTTTGTATTTTCATTACATAAAATACCTTGATCAAGGTATTTTTAATACCTTGATAAAGCTATATAGCTTTATCAAGCTATATACCTTTATCAGGGTATTGTGCTGGACCTGGTTGTCAGGGATCGACATTAACGGTTGTCCGATTACTCAGGGCAAGTAAATTCTCAGTTCGGGCAAGTGAAATTGTCGACGCACTTGTCCGATCGGGCAAGTGAATTTTTCTCATACAAGTGTACATATTTATTTAGTTTACATTAATTTATAAATAAAACAATAAATTGAACACTTGATTTCCGCCACGCACCGGACTGACAATCTGTTTTTAGATTCGGAATTCCTTGGTAGTGTTTCTGGATTATACCGCTTATTTAAAAATCGAGTTCGTTATTTCCTTTTGTAGTAAATCAGGGTTTGACATTAACTTTCACGAGTACTAGACCAGTCGGGCTACTTCCCATGACTTTTACTAGCCCTGACCCTAAAATCACAAGCCCTGGCCAAACCTGCAAATTTTAATTTTTATAATCGCTAATTTTAATGATGTACTTTGGAAATCGTCTCTCACGCTGTCAAGATGTTGACAGACTAGCCAATTGAATTGGGTTCATCAAGACATTCGAATATTATAAACTTTACAGATCATTCAACATACTTTAGTAAAATATTAATAAATTAAATACAGAATATATTTTTCAGTAACTTTTGTATGACATATTGATACTGAACGACGCTAGTCTCTACCGCGACTTGTCTATTACAGCCATATATGTATTTTCATGGCCAATCTCTAAATGTGAGAAAAGGTACAATGGAAATATGGATGTGATTGACTGAGAAATATAATACTTTTGAGAAATTATAAGCTTACTATTTTTTTTTATTAATGGGGGGGATGCACATTTCAGGTGCCATGCAGTGGCTAAAATTACCGATTGTGTCATACGGAGATTTTTTTTCTTTGTAAACATGCAGAGCGATGGCTGTTTACAATCGGACAAATAAGAATATCTCTTTAAAAGTTAATATAATATTTATTTGGAAGACTGGAAAGGGGTTTTACAGTTTTTTTATCGACACGACCAATCGGTCTAGTTCATAAACATTTTACACGACCCGACCACTAGACTGGGTCGGTCGGACGTGCCTTAGTGTCAAACCCTGTAAATATGCTCTATGTCAAACAAAATTTTGTTAACTTCTTATTAGGAAATTAGATTATTTATTCAAGCACACAGGGATCGACATTAACGGTTGTCCGATTGCCCGGGACAAGTAAATCCTCATTTCGGGCAAGTGAAACTGTCAACGTACTTGTCCGATCGGGCAAGTGAATTTTTCTTATAGAAATGTACATTTAAGTTTACATTAATTTATGAATAAAACAATAAACTGAATACTTGATTTCCGCCAGATACCTGACTGACATTGATTTACATTAGAAAATCCTTGGTAGCGTTTCTAGAATATACGGACCATTTAAAAATCGGGTTCATTATTCTGTTTTCTTTCGTGATAAATACGCTCTACTTATAACAAAGGAGATGGGCGAACATAGCGTGCAGATAGCCTATAGCTTCAGATATATAAAAATCATGTTCAGTTTGTGAATTTAATATTTAGAGTAAAGTTCTCATTATTGAAATTTATGAAATTATGATAAACAAAACTTTTCTGAGGAAAATTTTCTCGGCAAAATTTATTCTTTTATTAAAAAAAATTAATGTGATATTCGTGGGGTTCGAACCCTAGCAATAAAAATCCTGAGTATTATTTTCTTTCGAGACTAGCACGCTAACCACTAGACTACACAAGTCCTGATGAATAATGGCATTTAAATCATGATTGTGAAATGACCCTTGACTTAACGGACTTCAAATATTTCTCGAAAAGATGCGAATGTTATGTCATAAAAGTATATTTTAAGGTATAGTGGGTCATTGCTCCATATTTTTGGTAACCAAAAAATGTTTATTTTTATACAAAATTTGAGGATTAACTTTCAAAAAGGTGGAGCGAAGACCCACTCATATCGAAAAATTGTATTATAGTATGAGAAAATGACTCTTTTTGCCCGCTTTTGTGTGTGTCTAATATTTCACAGGCGAATAATTTCAATCTTTGGGGGATTTTTGCAAATTATAGAGATTTTACATAAAGTATGTTTCAATGTTAGACGAAATATCAAGGAAAATTTTGATATAATTGAAATTTAATTTTTCATCTTCATGTTTGTCACACTATAGGCTTATCGCTCGTCATGTTCACCCATCTCCTTTTTTAACTTCCAATTGGGAAATTCATTCACAGAATATAAGTAACACGATGTATCCCAATCCAGATATGTATGTTTCATAGCAGTTGTCTTCCTTTACTGTTGCTTGTTATCTCTGAAAATCACGATTCACAAAAGGATTCTACGGAAATTAATTTTTAAAAATATGAAGTTTATTAAAAGAAAACGGAGGGATAATGCTGCATGGCAGTGTGTTAACATATTAAATTGACAAGGACATTGATACACATGTACAAACGAAGCATCGAAATTACTTTTTTATGTAGCTCAACTTGCCAAGTTGACAGTAGTGTATTTAGTCACATTTTTTCTGCTCAGTTTACAGTAATAAATAATATTCTTCTTCCCTAATTTTGGGCAACCAAGTTTTGCATTCGGACAAGTCCAAGTCTGAGATCACTTGCCCGAAGGACAAGTGAATCTAAAAGTTAATGTCTATCCCTGGCACAGAACATTAAAGCACAGTGTACATGGTGTAACACGATGTATCCTGATCAAGATAAGATGTATCTTCCTTAAGCATTTATTTCTGAAAATCACTAATCACAAAAGATCCTACCAAAAATAACTTTGAAAATATGAATTTTATTTAAAGGAAACGGAGAGTTATTGTTGCATGGCAGTGTGTGTTAACAGGTTAAATTTACAAGTACAGCAGTATACATTTATGTACAAATGCAGCATGCATCGACATTTTTTTCAGGTAGCTAAACTTGCCAAATTGACAGTAGTGTATTTGGTCACATTTTTCTTATCATAACGTTTACAGTAATTAATAATTTTCTTCGTAAGTTCTTACCTAATTTTGGGCAACCAAGTTTTGTATTCGGACAAGTCAAAGTTTGAGATCACTTGCCTGAAGGGCAAGTGAATCTGAAAGTTAATGTCTATCCCTGATTGTGCAAGTATGTTGACAGTGTGACCGTTGGGGTGTGCACAGTTGTATATAATTTTTTACTAAATAATAAATACCCAACATTATTCACATTGAATAAAATTTAGATCCAATCTTCAAACCACATGAGACATTTAGAATGTCTAGATTTGACGTCACATGATGTTGTATACATGTAAGTTGCAATTCCATAAAGTCTCCAAAGGCAAACATTTAATGAAGGGTGTCTAATCTACTATCTCTCTGCAATATTCCATATTAAAGGAAGTGAAATACTTTTTCTATTTTAATTTTTTTCTTTCCTTATTATGACAATGTGAGCCAATGAGCAGAACAACAGTTATGAAAAACAGTATAATCACATTAGGTTGCTAGTCCAAGAGTTACTGTGGAAAAATGTTCATTTCGATCAATATGCACGTCCGTTTTTTAAAATGTTGTTTTAAGAGCTTGCTGTACTCACTATTTAAGAGCCATTCTCTGTAATGACTTTAACTTTTATATAGGAGCTGTGGCACGCATAGTCTCAGAATTTCTCCAAACTCTCTATGATAAAAGTCTTTGATACCGTAAACTCAAATCAGGCAAAAATTAGTTGCTACGTGTCATGGTTACCATAGCAACATGTCCTAAAGTTTGAAAAATGGCATTTTTCAACATGTTCAGAGTCCCACAGTTAACGTTTGCAGCAAAGCAAACAAGTGGCAATGACTCTTTCTGAAAGTTGAAGGCCTTATGTCTTAAATGCATGATAAACATGTTTGGTAAATCGACTATTACATACGTTACTATGGAAACAAAGTATTCAAAAGTAATAATTTTGTTCATTTAATTTTATAATTTCATACACTTAAGAATAAAAACAATTATAGGTTGAAAAGCAAGCAAATAATAGACAAGAGATCCTTTTAACATATACCAAGGGCGAAATATAATATTGTTTATAGGTTGGCAATGGTTGCCATGGTTTTAATACCACAAAGTTATTTTAAATTTACTTTTTTAGTGTTTTAATCTTATCCTATCTTTTTAAGAAGCATATATTATATAACTGATGATTAATTTTCAAAGGTGCTGGGGTGACCCTAATTTTCACATTTCAAAAAATTCAAATTCAATTCTTTAAATTGAGCGTTGCTATGGAAATTAGCCGAAAAATTATGCATAAAAATCTGAAAAATATTTTGTTTCCTTGGATACGTACCCTTGTACGTAGATTCCCAAAACTTTTATGATTAATATATATGAACAACTAACCCGACTTTCAATTTTGACTACCACCCAATCTCTAACTGGATGCAAAAAGCTGGCACATAGGATTTAAGATTGATATAAAATTAACAAAATCGAACATTTTCCCTTCTTGGTAACCATATCAACAGTGTTGTATTTTTCAACAAACTTAATCAATATATGATATTCAACTTTAGTTTTACCAGATAAGCACTGTTCAAGGTGAGTCAAATAATATGTTTCTTGATTAAAAGCTAAGTAAATTCCTAAAGCAGCAAAAAAATATTACTTTAAACAACTGGTACGTTGTTTCCATGGTTACACTGCAAAGTAACAATTAATCCCAATATTTCTTATGTTGTTGGTGTTGCAAGATCCTAAGGATGTATATGTGCCAGTCATGAATTTTATTGTTTTTCCTCAAGATAGTAGCATTAACCCAATCTTAGCAACAGATTTTGCATGGTTACACTGTGTTACCATGGCAACCATGAAAGTTATTTTTAGAATGATATTGCCAATACCTAATTACTTAAGGTCAAATATTTTTATTGTTTTTCTTTGGTTGTTGATTGAGTTTGATCATGTAACATCTATCATTAGTGAATATTGAGCGGTTTTCAGCATTTTTCAGCATCTAAAATGTATTCCAAATGTACCCATGGTTACCACTTACTTAGAGATAAATTCTAAATAGTTTGTTTATAGCTAAGTGGCAACAAGGTGTCATGTTTTTGTGAGAATAGTTTGTTAGTTTTTCTTAGTCTTTATTAAGGTTTAATAAAGATTCAAAGTAGCTGAAAATCTCAATTTTTTCAACTTTTCTGGCTGTTACCATGGCAACCAAGACACATAGCAACGAAATTTTATTTGATATATGTTTTTGGTGTCAAGTTGTAATAATGGGCAAAGTTTCATCAAAATCGGTGACCATGCGTGGCAAAGAAGTTTAAGTGGTTACAGAGAATCGCTATTAATTGTTTAATAAATTAATAACATGTCTGATGTTCAACCCTTGGGGCAAGTGCAGTTATTTATTATGCAATTAAAAAAAACTTAACACAGCTTACGCTTTTAACTTGGATCTGCCAAAATTCAAACTGCTTGAGACTCAACCTAATCTAAAATAAAAAAAATGCAAAAATTTTAATACAAAAAAGCATTCCATCTACCTGGTACTATTTTTCTGTGATTCCCCTTAATAAAGAAAGGAAGGCTTTTTTAAAATTGTGAACTTTCTTCTGGTTATCATGGTACATGTAATTGCAAGGACATAGTTGCATCCTGTGCAACTATGGAGGATTGAGGGTTTGATTTTACTGTGGAAAAATTCCTTTGAATGGATGTGCAGTAGTCCAAATTTTCTTTTCCCCAAGGCATTGTTGTAAGAGCTCGCTGCACTCGCTATAAGTCAATTTAAGGATTTTCCACTGCCCCATATAGGGCCGAATTTAAGCCTATTTTCAAACGCAAAAACCTTCCTTTTTTCTTGTAAAATGAACTGTGAGATGAAAATCAATGGCATGCCTAAAGTTAAGGGAAATCTTGTTCATAATCTATCCTGTGATTGAAACTTCAGGACAATTAGATGAAAACTCAAATTAATTCATCATTTGCATTTATTTCTTGGAAATGGTCATGAGATAAAATTTCCCAATCAGTGATAAAGCATCATCAGTTTCGAAATTGCAAGGGCCATGAACCCATTCCCAAAATGTATTTAATTGAAAATCATGCCCAAGGTATATGCACCATAAGCTTGGTCTACAACCTTGCAAGGGCATATTAGGCAGGCATATTTCCTTATAATCAGTCAATATCTTTTTTAATTTACCTGACCCAAACCCAGATCAAGCGAGCTTTTCTGATTGAAACATGTTGTCTGTTGTTGAATTTTTTCACATTTTCATCTTCTCTAGAACTACTGGGCCAATTTCAACCAAACTTACCACAAAGCATCTTTGGGTGCGTGTACCCTTTTTCTGTGGTGCTAAGTGGAGATTCATGACTTCCCCTGGATGGGACACCACTCCATGGCAGGTTAACCCAGCATAACCCATTACATCTGGGTGGAGCTGAGACAACGCAGATAAAATGCCTTAATTGTCTAAAGGACACAACACACAGCATCAAGTGCCTATGGCAGGACTTGAACCAGTGACATTTGGTTTACTGGTCAAACACCTATGACCACTTAGCCATATGCTCTAACCTTCAGTAAGTTACCTTAAGTTTATGAGATGACCCATCTAAGATCACAATAAATGCCCCACTTGTACTTCACAGGGTTGTTAATAGAGAGCCGTGGCCCTTACCAGTCAATAAAGATCAGCAGAAGCACAATCCAAAAAGTGGAGGAGGATAATACAGTTTCTATTACTAGTGGGTAGTATACAGAACTTACTGAGAAATCACAAATTTTTGTTGTTTTTGTGGTATGAAGAGACCCAAAAATTCATATCCCCAACGAAATGTGAAAATTTCATACTGCTATATAATGTTTCTCCTTTAACCATGAGATTAAATCCCCTCTAACCAGTAATTTTTCCACAAACCATGAAAATTTGACCTCATGAAAATAAGTAACTTTACAGTATGTATTTTGTAAGGGTTAATGTACAAGTAGCGCTCCATTTCTTAAAAGTAATGGAGCTGAGGCCCCGAAGAGGCCGAGGCCCATTGCTTTTAAGGAATGGAGCACTACGAGTATATTAACCCGCATAAAATCCACCTTTTTAAATGCTTGTAATTATTGTTTGTTAATATATAATAAAGTATTTCATATTTTAAGATACACTCTAAATATACATTCAACATATTAGTGGTATTGAGAGAGAGTAAGGCGAAAAAAGTGTACTGAATTTAAATCCACTGTCATTCAACAGCTTTGATAGCTTAGTGAGATGAGTACCTAACTCCGAAGGTGAAGGTACCGCTTTCGATTCTCAACAGTGCCACATTTATTTTCTTTTTGTGAAAATAAGCTTGTTAAAATTTTCTAAGTTCCTTCCTCGGTAGAGGTACGGGAAGGAGAATATGAACATAACAAATTCTGTTTTCAATGTAATTTGCAACTCTCCATTCTCGAAAGATAATGGAGCACTCAAACAAAAGAGTGATGTCACAGGTGGATTTTACGTAGAGTTCAAACTATCAGTATCGCAACACCTTATGGAAAACATTTGTTTTTGGCATTGCTGCCTCAAAATTCTGCAACAGTTCTTGGTGTTCAATATACAGAGAAAAAAAAACTACCATATTTATTCTTTAATTTTTTCAAATCTTAATTATTCTTAACAAAATTTGCTGCATGTATTTCAAAACATCCATTGACAGGGCCACCTTTAAAAAAATAATGTTTGTTTGGAATTGCCGAGGGGGGGTGGGGGGTGGGTTCAGATCCAGGAGGGTTGGAACTTCTTTTTTTTTTTTTTCAAAATTGAAGGTAATTTTAATAGTGTTGGTAAAAAGCTCAATAAGAAGTGAACACACTATTTTCTGACTTTTAGTAAAGGTATCTCCTATCAACAAAGAACCAAGTCTTTGCTTAGATCAGACACTAATTTAGTGTTTGGGGGACGCATGTGATAACAGCCAAGAATTGATTGTATAAAAAAGATCTTATTTTTTGTCAATAAAATTTTTCCTGGAGGGGTCATTTCAATGAGATGGGAGGCAATTCCAAACAAACAATGATTTAAATTTGGCCCAGTTTTGGATTTCATGTCATCATCAGCAGATTCTTATACAACCTGTTTTTCCTTTAACATGTTCAAGTATATGCCATCAGCAATTTCTTGTATTCACACATCAAACAAAACAAGTACAGATATATAATATTTAAGTATGGATTGGTTTAGTTCTTTGAGTGGATAAAATATGTTAATACAGATTACGGTTTACCTAACAATTGATATTTTGGAAATGCAAATGTACATTTTCATAGGGTTGTCTATGTCATATTGGTGTGCATGTCCTGTAAATGTTGGTAGCTTTATTTACCTGCATACAGTGTACTTTTTAGTTCATATATAATACTTTAATTACTGTACGTACCATTTCTAATTGTTCATAATGCCCTTATGTTCTTTCATATTTCAAGGAGTCAAACCCCTGCTTGAGAACTGTCTTGAGGATTATTGTGAAAATTCAAACTACTGCTTATCACAAGGTAAAATCCAATGCAATCAGTTAATATCAATATGTTTCAGTTGCAGAACCTATAGGCTCTATTACTAGTGTTATTTTGACATGTTTATTTTCCTAATGGCTTACAGGATGTATTCAAGCCAATGAAACTACAGAAGAAAAGATGTCCTTATTTGATCAAGTCATCATCAACACCATGAAAGAACACAAGATTAAGGGGGGATCAGTGATCATTGGTCAGCAGGGTAGAATTTTGTACAGACAAGGTAATACCATATGTACCGTATATACTCGCCTATAAGTCTGTTTTTTTGGGAGTTAGATTTTAGTCCAAAACTTTATGTCCGACTTATAGGCGAGTCCTAAAAGGATTAGTATTTTTTCTGGATGGCGAAATGTAGTATTTTATACACATTTCCCACGATTATCGTTGAACAAAGTCTGGATATATTATATAATTTATGTATTCTAAAATTATACATAAAGTACAAGTATTTACATATTTTGATAACTTTATTTTTATTTTAAGTGTGCATTATATACCGTTATTTTTCTTACTGATTTGAAATTAAATATCAGCGTCTTTTCCAAATATATTACTGTAGATTCCTTATTTTTCACGAGTACTTATTATCGCGAAATGGCTCTTTCACGTCAAATCGCGATAACAATAATTCGCGAGTGGACGGTTGATCAAGGGATTTTACATTGATTTCAGCACCATAAAATTAAGGCGAGAAATTTTATTTCGTGAGTGGTGCTTCTCGCGTAATTAAGCGATAATTAATTCATCGCGTATATTTAGGAATATACAGTAATTGAAATCAGGTTAAAACATCACAGCATTGATTTGAAATTGTCAACTGATTCTGGCAAAATGTTGTACCGACTTATAAGTGCGTCAATGGCAAATCCCTCAAAAATAACCTCAAAATATACAACCGACTTATAGGCAAGTATATACGGTAATTGTAAAGGAAATATTAAGTACAAATATCATTTCTGCTTGAACTTTCAGGAAGGCGTGACAATCTCGGCGATACATAATTAGCGTCTCTCAAATGGTGACCTAAATTCTCAGTGGTTAAGAAATTAATAACATAAGTATCTTTAGATTGTTGTTAACAAACAATGAGATGACATAAGCCACACCTCTTTACTGTAACAAATGATGTAATTGGTTCTTTGCATCACTCGTTGACGTCTGAACCATTTTAAATTTATTCCATGTGTATTTTACACGTGAATGAAAAGCTGTCTAAATTTCAGTATTGATGAGCTAATCCGGCAACTAATGAGAATCTAGGTCACTATCTGAGAGATGCTAATTATGTATAGCCGAGAATATCACACCTTACTGAAAGTTCAAGCAGAAATGATGTCTGTACTAAGGAAAGTTTTTAGTTTTGAATAATAAAATGTGATTTGTAGAAGTATACATTCATTTTATTGACAAGAAAAGTTTGATTGATTACTCAGATTTATAAGGTATTATGATTCTGAGACATTTTGATGGAAAACTTACAAATTCTTAGAGGAAAACAGTGTCAACAGACTAAATGTTTGATATGATTTTAGAGAACAATAGTTTGACAATGGTTTACATAATAACAGCTAGCTCAAAGATAAAACTAAAGTAACATACTTAGTTTTTCTGTAACAGGCTATGGTGAGGCAGCACCTGGAGTTTATGCTACGTCTTCATCAAAGTTCAGGATTGGTGACATTTCTAAAGTCATAACTGCCATGGCTGTTCTAAGACTAGTGGACCTGGGCTACCTAGAACTTACAGATGAAGTTTTTGGAGATGAAACTAAAAGTGGGTATAGGAACATATTATGCAGCCCGGGCCAGCCCCATAAATATAATTTACTCCTTATCTTCAAAAATTCAATTAATTATGATATTTTATATACAAGTTACAATGTGATTTGTTATGTTTGTATATCCAAATGATAATGCAAACAATTACAGAGAGACAGCAATGTCTTGTGTCTTAAAAGTTAAGAATAAAGGAAGGGATAGATAAGTGTTTGTTAGTACATGTACTATGATTTTTACATACCGTTTGTTTAAATTGAAGATGGATCTTGATGATAGGGGCATTTTCTGATTACATGTAAAAATTTACATAATGAAGAAATTAGCAAATAAAATATGTTTATTTTTAATATGTAACATTTTTTAATTAGCTTATGCTACTAGACCCTTGGCATTGGAGTCAGTGTCCGGGTTAAAGTTTTAGGAGCAGGTCTATTCCCTAGTAGCAATTAACCATATGGTAACCAAACTTTCATGTTTGATGCATCTAGAGTTGCACACTACCAGAGTTGCTTTGGATGCCAAATCAGACCAACATTTTCTGGATGACTGATAGAGCAGATAAAGATTTTGGTGCAGTCCCATTTTCAAATAACTATAAACCTTGTGGTGACCAAACTGCATAGATTATGTTTGTAGGAATGCACACTACCAGACATGTTCCAGATACTGGATCTGATCCACATTTTCTGGATGAGTGATCTGGTTGAGGATTTTGGAGCAGGTTCTTTTTTTTTTAAGTTAGTATAAACCAAACCTGCATTGATCATTAGCTATAAGCCCAGTGACCAAACTTGATGGATGATGCATCTAGAGATGCACACTACCAGAACATTTTTTCCTGTGAAACTTTGCTTTACTAATAGATAACCTTCATTTAAATGGTCTTTGTAATCTTTGATTACCTATGTTATAAAAATGTTTTGATTATTATTTAGACAAAGAGGATAAATTCGACAGTTTGATTTACCCTAATTTTCAGTATATGTATTTAAATTATAATTTTTTTCCCTTTTGATTCAGATACAGCAAAAGGAAAATTCATTAGAACTTCAGGTAAATACAGATTAAACTTTGTTATTTCGACATTGGAAAATTTTAGATATCTGGGATGTCAAGATAATCAGAGTTGAGACTCAACGTCCAAGATTTCACTGCTATAGCAAACAAAGACTAGTCCTAGTTTATTACTGTATTTACGTGATTTTATTAGTTAGTTATTCATCTTATTTTCAGCAATTCCTCTATTTGTCTATTACAAAATCTAAGAAATTATTCAAAAAATGTCTTATTGATAAAATGTATTCTTTGAAATCTGAGTGTTTTTCATCTGGCATTTTCTTGTGTTATGTTTGATTTTTAGCTCACCTGAGCTGAAAGCTCAAGTGAGCTTTTCTGATCACATTTTGTCTGTAGTCCGTCTGTCCGTCTGTCCGTCTGTCTGTAAACTTTTCACATTTTCGACTTCTTCTCCAGAACCACTGGGCCAATTTCAACCAAACTTGCCACAAAGCATCCTTGGGTGAAGGGGATTCAAGTTTGTTAAAATAAAGGGCCACGCCCTCTTTCAAGGGGAGATAATTAAGAATTAGTGAAAAATGAATAGCATCTTTAAAAAATCTTCTTCTCAAGAACCACAGGGCCAGGAAAGATGAAACTCATATGGAAGCATCCCCAGGTAGTGTAGATTCAAGTTTGTTCAAATGATGACCCCCGGGGGTAGGGCGGGGCCACAATGGAGGATCAAAGTTTTACATAGAAATATAAAGGAAAAATCTTTAAAAATCTTCTTCTCAAGAACAGTAAAGCCATGAAGAGTCATATTTATGTGGAAGCATCCCCAGGTAGTGTAGATTCAAGTTTGTTCAAATGATGACCCCCGGGGGTAGGCCGGGGCCACAATGGAGGATCAAAGTTTTACATAGAAATATATAGGAAAAATCTTTAAAAATCTTCTTCTCAAGAACAGTAACGCCAGGAAGAGTCATATTTATAGGGAAGCTTCCTCAGGAAGTGTAGATTCAAGTTTGTTCAAATCATGATTCCCGGGGGTAGGGCGGGGCCACAATGGAGGATCAAAGTTTTACATAGAAATATATAGGAAAAATCTTTAAAAATCTTCTTTTCAAGAACAGTAAAGCCATGAAGAGTCATATTTATAGGGAAGCATCCTCAGGAAGTGTAGATTTAATTTTGTTCAAATCATGACCCCCGGGGGTAGGGCGGGGCCACAATGGAGGATCAAAATTTTACATAGAAATATATAGGAAAAATCTTTAAAAATCTTCTCAAGAACAGTAAAGCCATGAAGAGTCATATTTATAGGGAAGCATCCCAAGGTAGTGTAGATTCAATTTTGTTCAAATCATGACCCCCGGGGGTAGGGCGGGGCCACAATGGAGGATCAAAGTTTTACATAGAAATATATAGGAAAAATCTTTAAAAATCTTCTTCTCAAGAACAGTAACGCCAGGAAGAGTCATATTTATAGGGAAGCTTCCTCAGGAAGTGTAGATTCAAGTTTGTTCAAATCATGATTCCCGGGGGTAGGGCGGGGCCACAATGGAGGATCAAAGTTTTACATAGAAATATATAGGAAAAATCTTTAAAAATCTTCTTCTCAAGAACAGTAAAGCCATGAAGAGTCATATTTATAGGGAAGCATCCTCAGGAAATGTAGATTCAATTTTGTTCAAATGATGACCCCCGGGGGTAGGGCGGGGCCACAATGGAGGATCAAAATTTTACATAGAAATATATAGGAAAAATCTTTAAAAATCTTCTTCTCAAGAACAGTAAAGCCATGAAGAGTCATATTTATAGGGAAGCATCCCCAGGTAGTGTAGATTCAAGTTTGTTCAAATGATGACCCCCGGGGGTAGGGCGGGGCCACAATGGAGGATCAAAGTTTTACATAGAAATATATAGGAAAAATCTTTAAAAATCTTCTTCTCAAGAACAGTAAAGCCATGAAGAGTCATATTTATAGGGAAGCATCCTCAGGAAGTGTAGATTTAATTTTGTTCAAATCATGACCCCCGGGGGTAGGGCGGGGCCACAATGGAGGATCAAAATTTTACATAGAAATATATAGGAAAAATCTTTAAAAATCTTCTCAAGAACAGTAAAGCCATGAAGAGTCATATTTATAGGGAAGCATCCTCAGGAAGTGTAGATTCAATTTTGTTCAAATCATGACCCCCGGGGGTAGGGCGGGGCCACAATGGAGGATCAAAATTTTACATAGAAATATATAGGAAAAATCTTTAAAAATCTTCTTCTCAAGAACAGCAAAGCCATGAAGAGTCATATTTATATGGAAGCATCCTCAGGAAGTGTAGATTCAATTTTGTTCAAATCATGACCCCCGGGGGTAGGGCGGGGCCACAATGGAGGATCAAAATTTTACATAGAAATATATAGGAAAAATCTTTAAAAATCTTCTTCTCAAGAACAGCAAAGCCATGAAGAGTCATATTTATATGGAAGCATCCTCAGGAAGTGTAGATTCAAGTTTGTTCAAATCATGACCCCCGGGGGTAGGGCGGGGCCACAATGGAGGATCCAAATTTTACTTAAAAATATATAGGAAAAATCTTTAAAAATCTTCTTTTCAAGAACAGTAAAGCCATGAAGAGTCATATTTATATGGAAGCATCCTCAGGAAGTGTAGATTCAATTTTGTTCAATTCATGGCTCCCGGGGGTAGGGCGGGGCCACAATGGAGGATCAAAGTTTTACATAGAAATATATAGGAAAAATTTCTTCTCAAGAACAGCAAAACCATGAGGAGTCTAATTTATATGGAAGCATCCTCAGGTAGTGTAGATTCAATTTTGTTCAAATGATGACCCCCAGGGGTAGGGTGGGACCCAATGGGGGATCGAAAGTTTTACATAAGAACATATAGAAAAAAAATTTCTTCTCAAGAACAGAAAAGCTATGTTAGTCTTATTGATATGGAAACATCCTCGGGTAATGTAGATTCAAGTTTGTTCAAATGATGACCCCTGAGATAGGGAGGAGCTACAATGGGGGATCAAATTTTTACAAATGAATAAATGGGAAAATTCTTTTAAAATCTTCTCAAGTACAACAAATTCATTTGTTATATTGACAGGAAAGCATCATCAGGTAGTTTAAAATTCAAGCACCCCCCCCCCCCCCCCCCCCCCCGTTCATTACTGAATTGATTTGTGCCTTAGTCTAGCCAGTGTGCTCAGGTGAGCGATGTGGCCCATGGGCCTCTTGTTGTTAGAAAAGGATATGAAATGCCCTGTATAAACTTAGAACCATACAAAGTTGGCACCAAAGATATGAAAAAAGAACTAAATGCATATTTTTATTAAATTTCAGAAAGAACATTCAAATACGAAATTTTAACAATTTGTGAACTGATATAATGCAGTGATCTTACATATGCATGAATCACGGCTGATTCTGAATCAGTAAATAGTGTCGTTGATTGGATTGTTCTATATTGAATACATTTCTACCAAAAAAGTATCATAAAATAAATGGTTTAATTTCTTATATAATAAATTTGAATTGAATTCAATTTTTGTTATTCGATTGTAATTCAGTTGCATTTTTAAAAATTAAATTTATAATAGGTTTCAAAATAGATAAACGTCTGTACATTTAAGGATTTATCAATCATTAAGACATTACCCAAGCTGTTAAGCAATGAACATCTCATAGAGTGCTTGTGATTCATTTACAAAGTATATAGAATTTATTATAATAAGCAGTGTGCAGTCAAAACATGGGTTTGAAAATGATAAACCTGTACAGATACACAGAGTCATCCGTGTGTGGTGAGCGACCATCTGACAAATGAGTTTAGTAGAGCAGGAAATTGTTCCGAAGTCAACATATACAACATAAATTTTGTTCTTGGGACTGTGAATATACATCAAGATAAGCAGGGTAGTTGACATTAGCCTTATGATATACATTTTAACATGAACAAAATTATAAAAAATATCCAGCGGTCAAGGGTCTAAATGAACCCTGGACCTATTCTTACAATATTTTTTGTTTTATGATGTTGGCAGCTCTGATGATGTTTTAGGTATTCTAAAGGACCACTACAAAGTCAGGAGAAGACACATGATAGAGACCAGAAGAGTGGAGCATCTTCTACAGCATTCAGGGGGCTGGAACCAAGCACAAGGAAGTGACATCATAGATACCAGAAAACTGGTCCTGGACAAGAAGACTATGGCAAATGTCAAGTCATCAGACAGAAAAGAAATGATGATGCGTCAGATTTTAATAAAGGCACCTGACTATAAACCTGGTAACATACTTATTCTTCTGTTTTGAATTATTATAGAAAATTTTGCTTGTTTGAAATTATTATACTGTATAATATTAACATCCACTGAATATTATTTCCTTTATTTCTTATAAAAACCATTGCTGTTGATCAGTCCATAAACAACACTTAGCAAGCCACCTGCATAGATTTCTTAAGCAACGGCTGTTCCATCAATTATGCATACAGTGACATACACATCTATATTACAATATTTAACATATTTAATTTACCTTGAATGTTTTTTTATAAAGATACATGTATAATTATAAACAATAAAATGTCTTTCTTTCTTTGTTAGTAAAGGAATTAACGTCGCAGCTATTGCAGAAAAAAATTCAAATACAAGACAATGATAAGTTTATTACTTACCTGAAATCAGTACATTGTATCAGTGTTTCTTTCTATTTTTAGCAATTTTTATTATTCCCCATAATTGAAGATTGAATCAAATTTATCATATATTTTGATATAAATAAACGTGCATTCCTCAGCACATACCCAAGCTGTTAAGCACTTAACATCTCATCAAAGTCCAATTCTGCTTGTGATTCATTTACAAACTAGATCATTATAGAATTAAATAAGTATGCAAAAACATTGGAGTTGTAAGGTGTGAATTTCTTACAATGTTGAGAAGATCAAGGGCCATCCATGTATAACAAATGATCATCTGACAAACACTTAGGTGTAGCAGAGCAGAAAATCCTTGACATTTACATCTACCGTCATGTAAATTTTGCTCTTGGTACGTTGAGATAAGCTGAGTATTTGATACTACGAAAGTCCACAAATCCCAAGATTTTACAGTTCATTTTTCTACAGGAAGTAATGTCATAATCACAGATGGACATCCTTATATCCCAGTTTTATGACATACATGTATCTGATTTCAATATAATCAAGTTTACCTGTAAATGATCAAGTGAAACTTTTGTGCAAGTCATTCTGTGGTGTATGTATTAGCTCACAACTATCAAGTTCCCAAATGATCACATAGATGTATTTTCTTAGTTTTAGATAATCAAGTGTTACATATAGTTGATTTGAATGATTTCAATGACTGTTAAAATAATTAATTAGACTAAGTTTCATTTATAAATGTATGCCTGCTACAGAAAACAGTTACCGTAGAGGTATTCTGCTCTTTTTCTCTGATTGAGTCATTGAAATTGGTCCAGGGGAAAATTGATTTAGAAGGTAATAACTATTATGTAAACTACGGTCAAAGTCAAGGGTCACAAGCATTGGTTTTTACTATTCAGAGTTATTGAATTTCTTTATTTTATCAGAGAAAATGCTCCTACTTCATATTGCCACTTTTACATTTATCAAAATTGGAAAATCAGAGATCACATTTATTGCAACTTCCTCTCAGAAATGTACATGTAACCAGGGGTTGAAATTTTCCTGGAAAACCCACAAGCCCAGGGGCTACTGATCAGGAAAAAATTACTAGCCCACACCTCAAACTAACTAGCCCAACAATTTCTTGTGCAAAATGAAAACATACATGTAAACAACTAAAACAAGTTAAAGTTTCAAATGCTTTGGTGACAAGAACAAAATAAACTAGTTCACAGTCAAAAGAAACCAGTCTACATAGAAAAGCGAAAGTAAGCTGATGATCAGGATTTTTTTCCTTTCTGCTAGTCTAACGGACTATCCTTACATTTAAATTAGCTAGCCGGAGTCTTAATACCGTATATACTTGCCTATAAGTCGGTTTTTTGGGAGTAAAACCCCTGTCCGACTTGTAGGCGAGTTATAAAAATATTGGTATTATAGTGGGTCAATCCCCTTAATGTAAGCTTAAAAAAATACAACCGACTTATAGGCGGACCGACTTATAGGCGAGTATATACGGTATATGACTTGCCCCAGGTGTCAGGCTATCATATATTTGAAACCCTGATGTAAATATGTATGTTTCAGGAACAAAACAAATTTATTGCCACCTTGGATACTTTCTTCTGGGAATGGTAGTTGAGGAGGTCACTGGAATTCCCTATCTCAACTTTGTACGGGACATGTTCCAGAGTCTAGGAGTAGGTGACCTAAGCAGCATAGACAGCTGCAAGGAACTCAACAATGATGAGGATAACCTGGAAAATCTCTTTGATTCAGTAAGAAAATTCCTTTCTATGGTATGGTTAGAGAAATCTTGTTTTTGCAGTATGAAAATTCCATTTATTCAGTATGAAAATTCCTTTGACAAAATAAGAAATTTTCTTTGAAACAATTATGAATTCCTTTAATACAGAAACAATATCTCTGATAAAGTAATAAATCCCTTTGATATAACACAGTAAAAAATACCTTTGGTACAGTATTAAAATTCCTATGATGAAATAAGAAAATTTCTGATAAACTAAGAAAAATCCTTTAATATATTAAAGATAATCTATATATTTGTTGAGAGAGTAAGAAAATTCTTTTGATACAGTAAGAATATCCCTTTGATTATAGTAAGCAAAAAGGTAGTTGAATTCGTTTTGATGACTGACCATTTTTGTCAGAAATGTATGTTATATCAGATATTTTTTTTTTATCTTTTTCTCTTCCACTAGAATCACTTATGCATATGGTTAATTTTTTAGGTGAGTTCTGTTTCACAGGAAAACACAGAATCAACCCCATTTCTACATGGTCATTGCAAACTGAATAAGAGTGATTATGGAAATATTCTACATTTGCGACAGACTTCAACATATTGTGGCTTAATTGCTTCAGCAGAGCAGTTGTTCAGAATTTTTTCTTCCATTGAACTCTCTTTACATACGTGAGTAACCATTAACAGTAGGGCTGTCACGAGTACCCGAAATAACCAAGAACCGCGGTCCAAGTTGTTCGGTTCGGTTCCTGTTCCATTTTTCCGGATTCCGGTTCGGGTCTGGTTTATATATTGGAGTCTGTTCAATACAAAAAATTGCGTCGAAATCAAAGGAATGATGACGATAACCGTGATAAATAAACATCACAACTGAAATCTACTTCATTTCATGACAAAACACTTGTCACGGAAGTATTAAATAATTATCAAAACGAGCAGGAATGGTCAGGTTGTGGCTAATAGTAGGCCAAGTCACTGATGTCTAGACGTTCGCATGGTTAAGACTTGTTTTCAATGTAAATTTAATGTAACAAATAAAGATTTTTTAAGTTAAATTCATGAAATTAAGGTTTAAAATAGATGTAAATAACTGACCCGAAAAACCCGAAACCGAACCGAAAATTTACAGAACCGACCCGACCCGAAAAATTTTGGAACCGTGACAGCCCTAATTAACAGACAAATGTATGGTGCTTTGGTTTAAGTCTTACTGTGCAACTTACAAAGTGCAAACAACTTGTACCTTAGTTTTGTCAGAATCATACAACAGAACCATTTTTGAATTGTTTTATTCAAGTAAGTCCAGGCCTTTAGCCACGGTTTTAAAAGATTGGGGTGGAAGGAACCTGACAAGCAAAAAAAAAAAATAACCCTAACTGACCAAACTCCAAAAATCCTACTTTGTTGAAAGGGGAGGGGAGGGGGTGCAACCAGCATCTAAATGAAAGCATTCTATAGCAAAATACTCTCATCAGAAAAAAGTGCCCCCCCCCCCCATGTTCTATGGGCCTCCAGTCATACGAAAAGCCTTTTAATTGATAGATGTAATTTAAGTTTTTGTTTATTTATTTAGTTACTTATTTACAGAGGCTCTGGAATTTTGTCGAAGGAAATGGTCAAGCAAATGCTTGAAAAACCTTGGTTTGAAAATGGTTCTGAATGGCTTGGACTAGGTCTCAATGTTACAGATGATGGTGAGAGTTGGGGGCACTTAGGAAGCAAGCCTAAGGGTACCCATTCCTTAGCTGCTCGGCATCATTCTGGATTTACATGGGTTGCTTTGTTCAGTGAAGGAGAAACTGGATGTGATGATCTATATTTAGATCTCGATACCATGATGAAACATGCATTAAGCATGTCACCTAGGTTCTCCTCCTACTCAACTGTTTTGTTCAAGCAGCTGTCTTTCTGGAGTATGGAAGTGCAGTATTATGGAATTTATTCTTCAAACACAGATCAATTGTATGAAGTACTTCTTCCATATGAATTACTTGATAGACATTACATGAATTTAAAATTTGCCGGATACTTTATTCAGCATATTGATCTTGTTAGCAACAATGGAAAATTATTTGTCAACATAGTTTGGAATCAACTTAAGAAAAATCAGAATTGGTGTATCAGGAAATACCATGTAGATCACAGAAGCGTAGGAGCATGTAACACAGTTGAAAAGGATGTGGAGCATTTTTTTTCTAGATACCAAATTCACACTTTATCAACTTGTAAGGTCAAAACTTATTTCCACTGTGTCATAGTGTTCAAGGAAAAGACCAATTTAAAGCTTTCTCAAAAGTTTTTATTTTTATCCCCATATAACTGTGCAATTAAATACATCACTGATTCACTGGTGTATGGTAACAAAGTTGTAAATCCATCCGTTTGCCAGGTTGGTTTATCAAAACTTCTGACAGCGGTTCTTGAATATGAAGGACATGAAAGATCAGTTCCAAACAGATACTGGATTGCAGCATACCCAGAATTCTTTGCACATATCATCAAAGTTGATGATGAAGTGGTACACTTTGGCCTTCAGCATGCTCAGTTTTACTCAAACAATGCACCAGACAGTGTGACTGGAGCCTTTGTTTGCTTTGTCTTATCATCAGATATCAAACATAGAAGCACCTGCAAATATGGACTAACTCGCTATGCTTTCATGAAAACTCTAACAGACATTGTCAGATCTGGAGAGGTTGAGGTGGAGAAGATATGTACTTACTTACACAAGGGATGCTTTCACTTTGCTTTAGTGACAAAGCACAACTGATATAGTTACTTTCAATTGGTCAACAGAAATAAAACCTGATTGCAAGAGTGAATTCAGTGTCGAATCCTACAGACATGAGCACTGGCAAAATAAACGGATCTATTCTATACACGTATGTCTAAGAAGAACATATTATTCACAAAAAAGTTCAGTTCTTGAATTCCACCGATATTTTAAGTTGAAGTCAACACCTTTTATTTCCTACAGATATTCCCCGGCCATTGCACCCAGGGGAAGACCTAGATACTCTGTCTGAATGGATAAAGTGTTTTAGATACATGTATATATTAGAGAATCGCATTAGAAAATTAAAGGGCAAAATGTGAACTATCTATCCTTCTGTTTCAGTAGACCGGAAGTGATAAAAGAATAAGATAGACTACATAAAAAATGTTTTGATCCCAACTGACAAAGCTTTTAACAATATATTCTTTGTATGTAAGACTCTTTGTTTAAAATGCATTTTACAATTTGGTTTTACATGTAATTTCACATCAGAAATCCAAGCTATTCTCAAAGTTCCCTTTAACTTCTTTAAATATCACCCTTTAGTTATGAATTCTTTTAACATTCCAGTCTGTGAAAGTGAGTTTGATTTACCTAAGATATATTACAGAGTCCAGTAAATGTTCATCCAAGCCCCTATCCTTACTACCCACCAAAAATATTAACGGCTGTGAAAGAGAAACTTCAGAAGTGGTGTAAAACAAATAGGAATTCTTTTAAAAAAAAGCCAAAGAACTTTTGGAAAAATTAAAATCTCAAAACTTCAAACATCAAGAGCATCAAAACATATGAGTTTTCTACGCTTTATACAAGTATTCCCCACAATAAATAAAAGAACAGGCTTTTTGATATCATAGACAACTGTTTCCTCAATAAAAATTGAACTCGTAAATTTTCATATCTTGTGTTTGGTCATCCACAAAATTACTTTAATTGAAATTAATTTGTGATTTTGCATATAAGTCAGGGCGGATCCAGGATTTTTTCTTAAGGGTAGGGATGGGAATTTTCCACATAAACTGTAACAGCTATCAGACTCTGAAATCGTTTGATCCCCCGCCCAAATACAAGTTGTCCGAAACTTCCTAAGGCAATTATCTTCTGATAATTGACTCTCCTGACCATTTTTAAACGGGTCCGCGTTTCCTGGGGGGGGGGGGGGGGTGTTTCCAAGGTAATTTTGCGTTACTTGTATATTGAAAGATATTTAATAACTGAAAATACCAAACGGGGGATTTAGATCCCCGACCCCTCCCCTCTAAAGCCGCCCATGTAAATCTCTTGGGGGGATATCGGTGATGGCACTTTCTTAAGTCAGTTTTCTTCTGATAGATGGCTCTTATACTTTTTAAGGAGGGTCCGTGTTTCTTGGGTGGAAAATTTAAGCTCTGCATTCTGACGTCAATATTTAATAGACGATGGAGGTCCTCATTCACAATATCTGTAGACTTTGGAGACCAGGCCTCAAGACCATAAACTGAGAACAGACTTAATTTTGATTTTAAATATCTTGAGTTCTAATTAATTTATGTGCATGAAATTTTGCTGGTGTATATATTACAAACATCCATACACGTGGACAAAAGTTTATTTCATTATCAAAATCATTTTAAAAATTATTTTGATTTAAGATTTTGACTTAAGTCTGTTCTCAGTGTATGGTCTTGGAGCCAGGTCTTCCAACAGTCTGTTGGAATTTCGAGGGGCACAAATAATTCTCCTTTATTTGCCGACCTGTTTTTATATTTCTGTGAAGCAGAATTTATTCAGTAACTTCTTCACGAGGAGAACAAAGCTCTTTCTGTGGCCTTCAACTCAAGATTTAGATGTATCGACGTTTTACATGTTTTATCAATTAACAATAGTAACTTTTATTCATTTGTCGACTCAATATATCCCAGTATACTCGAAATAAAAGACACTACAGAATCTGCTACATCTGTTTCATATTTTAATGTTAATTACTGACTATAGACGATAAGGGCCAACTAATAACTAAACTGTATGACAAAAGAGATGAATTCAGTTTTTCCATCGTCAACTTCCATTATTTATGTAGCAATATTCCAAATCACCTGCATATGTTGTTTATGTCTTCAAATTTATTCCATACTCAAGAGCGTGCTGTGAATACAATCAATTTTTAAACCGAGGCAAGCTACTGACAAATGAGTTGATGTTACAAGGATTTCAACAACCCCGTTTACAGTCAGCTTGTAAGGCCATTGCTTTAAATTGAAATATATATTACAACGGAATACTCCGTCCACCTGATCAACAGATAAGGCTTACGGCGGCACTTAATCCCTCCTCTGGAATTTCCGGGGGTCCACGTTTTTGCCTTATTCACGATTTGTTTTGTGAACTGGATTATGAGATTAATTACTGTTTATTATCGTCACCCTTCACACTTACCTCTAAATAGCTGGTCAACGTCAAATAAACGTACAGACGACGTCGTGATCAAGCATCAACGACCAGTTTTTACGTTTGAAGGAACCACGTCTCTGTCAGATTAATATTGATATAAATAAAAACGATGGGTTGAGTTTTTAAAAATTTTTATTGATAAATTGAAAATAACACTATTTCAGCATACACAGAGATCTTTATTTTATAAATTGTACCTAACACTAGCTGTTTACCCTGATTGGGTTCTGTAAAGCAAAAACATCATTTGACACTGTGTTGTTGGAAGAATCCTTGCTTAAATCACTTTTCATTACAGTAGTATTTGATTTGTGCATTTTTTGGTATAACTTTTCATCAAAAATCCAAGTTCCTGTTGTTAAACTGATGGCGTCATTACTCGTGGTACTATGGCGCATGATTGGAAGAGCTTGTAGGGGATTTGGAACTGGTGACTGAAGGCTGCACGTTTTAAAACAATAACGAAACACACTAGTGCAATACTGATTGCAAGCCTCGTCATCATCAGAACAGTTTTCAACACTGCATATAAAGTATTTATCACCGCACGTTTCCAGACACTTTCTGTTCCTCCTTAGTTTTGGCGTACCTTGTCTCATGGCGGGGTTTGGTAAAGGTCGGCGGAAGACGTGATAAACTTCGGCTACTGATGGGTTCCTCGATATATTGTAACCTACTGATAAATTCTGAACAAACACAAGAACAGCGGTACAGAATAAGATGTTCCGTGCTCTCATATCCCATCAAGCTTATGGATCGTTTTTTGTTGAACAATCTGTAAAAATAAATTTAAAGTTTGTTAAAAATCAACTAATCCTTCAAAATTTGGATGGATTTTAGCATGTTTATCTGTATTAAATTAGATGAGACTTAATTTAGATTTTCTACATCCAGTGGAATGTAGAATAATTATATATATCAATAAAAATTTCTTATTTTATATCATATTTTTGCTTCTGTTGATATTTTATATATGTCTTTAAATTGTTCATATTAAATGGTTGCAAGTACGTAAAATGTTGTATTACTGATCGGTACGTTGTACATTGATGGACGAGCCATGAAACAGTGCGTTGACATTTGAATTTCTGAAAATCTTTCATAGAGATGGCTTTAAGTTATTAAAAAAAGGATACATGTATGTCTAGTATAGATGTACATGTATATTGTGTTTTATTGCTTTAGATTTTAATTTGATTCCATTTTTATTAACTCACCTGAGCTGAAAACTCAAGTGAGCTTTTCTAATCATCCATGGTCCGGCGTCCGTCCGTCTTGCTGTCTTTCTGTCCGTCCGTCTGTAAAATGTTCACATTTTTAACTTCTTTTCAAGAACCACTGTGCCAAATGTAACCAAAGTTGATACAAAGCATTCCTACACTGTAAGTAAAGGGGACTGTAAATTGTTAACGTGAAGGGTCAAGCCCCGTCCATGGGGAGATAATCAAGAAAAGGCAAAAATAGGGTGGAGTCATTAAAAAATCTTCTCAAAAACCACCAGGCCAGAAAAGCTGAAACTTAGTATCAAACCTTTTGAGGTAGTGTAGATTCTAAATTGTTCAAATCATGGCCCCCGAGGGTAGGGAGAGCCCCAACTGGGTATCAAAGTTTTACATTGAAATGTATTGGAAAAATCTTTTAAAAAATCTTCTCATGAACCATTGTGCCAGAAAAACTGAAACTTACGTGGAAACGTCCTAAGATAGTGTAGATTTTAAATTGTTCAGATCATGACCCACAGGGGAAGGGTGGGGCCACAATAGGGATTATATAGGGAAAATTTTAAAACTCTTCTCAAGAACAGCAGAGCCATTAATGTGAAAGCATCTCTTGGTAGTGCAGATCTATGATTAATTTTTGTCCAAATTACTGCCTCTGTATAAATGGTGGGCCACAAAGGCAATCAAAATTTTTACACAGGAATACATGCATATTGATAAAAATAACAAAAACAAAACTGATGCAGAACAACAGGGTCAAAGTGACACATGTGAACGTTGTGGCCCATGAGCCTCTTGTTTCATTGATCTCTTTGTGTTTCCAAATAACCCTTTACCTTAAACAAGTTTGAAAAGTTTTCATGACATTTGCAGAAAATCTTGCTATGTAAACATTGACTGTATTGTTGTATAGATATTAGCTATTTATTTTGTTTATTCATCATTGAATGCCAAAGTTTCCTTCATCTGTCTGATGATGAAATTTTATTTTTCCTTAACATATCATCACTATAATAGATTTAACAATTTGAAATTTAAAAGCTTAACCACTTAAATGTAAATATTAATGCATTTTTATTGCTTATATGCGTGGTATTGATTCGCCGCAAAGAACTGCTGGTATTGACAACGGTATACCCAATATGTTTAATTCCATTATCTAGGCTGAAGAATAACGAAAGCATGCATTTGTTTTTGTTTTTTAATACATTTACATTTGACCGATTAAAAAAAAATACTGTTAGTGCTTGAAACCCATTCCATTTATAGAAATCATAGGTGCTTATATATATATATATATATATATATATATATATATATATATATATATATATATATATATATATATATATATATATATATCAAACTGGTGGTATAGCTTAATAAATAAATGTTTGCAATAATAAACAGAGAGGAAGTTTACGCCTTTCAATCCACTTTTGTTTTGAATTTTTCTTTCTTTTTTTCCACTTAAAGGTGATATCTACTCGTTTGGTACAGCTATTAATTGTGCGCTTAATTTTAACACTTAGTTGTTCACAGGTGATGAAAATAATGAAGATCAAAATTGATAAGTAAATATATAAAAAGACTAATATTTCTTCTGTATCAGATATGGAGGTAAATTTTTTTTTCTTCGAAATTAAAAAAAAAACTT